ACTTGAAAATAATCAAGGAAGGTAGACTGAATTGAATATATTGACCAAGGAGCTTTGGATCATTAGTGAAAACTGAAATTGGCCATTAACTCTCAAGGAGTCATAGTGATATCAGCAAAACTACTCCAATTAAGGGATCCAAGAACTGTAAATAAGAAATGTTCCTATCATGTTTCTGTTGCAATGCTACCGGTTGCATTCTCATATGTGAAAGCAGAATGTATTGTACTTTATCAGTAGAAAGCTACTGTGAAAATTACAACTATTGGTAAGAATAACAACAGCCTGGGGGGGTGAGTGATTAACATTGTTGAACAACTTTGCAAAAAAAATGTTGAATGAGAATAAATATTGGTACAAATATTCTAATTCTGCAGTGATATATCATGGAGTAATGACCCCAGGAGAACCAATCTTCTTGGCGGGGCAGAAACAGGTTTCTAAACTAATATTCCACTGGGCATTACTTTCCATTTCATTCCTTTCTTCTCATATAAATCATGCTTGCATGAGAAGTGTGTACTTTGTAGTTCTTAAAATTATATGGTTGTTCCATGACATAATAGTTATGACATGGGCAGAGAAGGCCAAATTAATCAAGAATTTAGGAACTAATGTCTGGTTTATGGAAACATTCAGTTTGAACTTCCATTTCATCTCTATATAGAATTCTATATTCATGTTCTTCTTTTTGTTTCACTGCATTTGTTAGTAACATCCATCAAAGAAATATAGAAGTATTCCTTTTAATCTTTACAATGTGGTTAATTTTAATCTTTACAAGGACTCAAACAGCTGTCCTTAATTCTATTGACTCTTTGCAGATGTGAAGCAATTAATAAACATATTATCAATATTCACATTATCAAATAGGACCAAAATAATCTTGCACAAATTAGTGGTATATTAGTACACACTTAATTGTGGAGTAAATTCCATTGAACATACTTTTGAGAAAATATATGATTACACTTACACTGTTAATCTTATAAAGTAAATAACAACTTACAACATATACTAATCATTTTACCTGGACTTGGACAGGTCTTCTAAGGCAGTGGTCCCCAACGTCACGCCTCCAGATGTTCTTGGACTCCAACTCCCAGAAATCCTAGCCAGCAGAGGTGATGAAGGCTTCTGGGAGTTGTAATCCAAGAACATCTGGTGGCCCAAGGTCGGGGACCACTGTTCTAAGGACTATTCCGTTCCATCTGCTACCAAAACATATAATTAGAAAGGCTCATGCAGAATAAATACTATTTCTTGATTAATATAATACTGTTTGCAAAGCTATATAGCAGAGAATAGATTTTGTTACTTTTATATTACATACTGTACTTGATAATTTTGCCTACTAGAAGTTTGACATATATATATATGTGTGTGTGTGTGTGGCTTTTTCCTCCTCTGAGAAACACCTTGGATAAAAATAAATAAATAATATATATATATGTTTTAGTTTAGTGACGTGCTTTTGGTCTTAGGTTAGTAGTACAATCTGATTGGCTCTTTTATGTCTTCTAGATTAGCTGCTGGAGCCAAAATCGTGTGTTTGTGCATAATTAATATAGCTTAATTTATTAATTGTAGTGTTGAATTAGTACTAGACTCTTGCCTACTTTGACTTTACATTTGCTTCTCTCTCCTTCTTTCTCTCTTACATGTTTTACATGACTAAGGATTAAATCACCATCTTATCATAGTTGTGAACATAATTTCACTCCGCGAGTTCTGTAGTTTTGTGTTTAGCAAGTTAAGTGCTCACAACTTCTTTCTCTCTCTCTCCCTTAGTTGCACAGTAAGGATTTTTGAATGTATAGTGTCATCTAAGGTAAGCTTTCATATGGTCCGTGCATATGAAGCTTATGTCTTGTTGTTCACATCATACATGGCTACCAGAGTATGGCATAATTTTCATTATGTCATTTAATGAAAATGGGGTAGTCAAATTAATATTGAAATAGACAGACTTTTGAAAATAATATTGTGCTCTCGATTAACAATTCTTACCAGATCTGCCTGATAATTGCTTGTGATGGCAGTTCTTTGTGGCAATGCAACCACTTACTAACAGTATATGTAAATAATGCCTCAGCAGGATGGGACAAAGCATGAGCCAGGTTAACAGCTTACTACACATAAATAAGCAAACCAGAGCTTTCTAGCATCTCCAGCTAGTTATTTGCCTCAAGGTTCAGATGCCTGAAGAAATTACTGTATTTATACCCAACTATTATCTAATTTTACTTGACATTTTTACACTACAGCAACTTTAAGGAATGCTTTAAAAGCATGCCACATTTTTGTCTGTCTTTAGCGTTCACTGAAGATGAGAAAAGCATATCCTCAAAAGAATGGTTAAAAAAAAATCTTCAGTGACATGTCTTTGAATTAAAATCAAATAATGTGGTTTTACCTGAATATGGTAAGATTCTACAGAAATGCTACTTGGCTTTTCATTGTGTTGAATATGTGAAAAGCTACCACTTAGATGGTCAGTGGCAGCACATGCCTGAATACAGCCAGGATATTTTGGAAACTTTCAAAAGGTCCTCAATGTTTTATATTTATGGTACAAATCAGTAACAGAGAGAAGGTAAGTTTTGGTTCACAATGGGCATAATTGCTCCAGACATTCTGCAAAAAAATGGTGACTATACTAGAACAGTGATTTACTGCCTCATTCCCACCCACCCCTGATCAGCAGCCTCAGCAAGCTAAAGGAAACACTGCTCAAGTTTTGATGTCAAGTAATGCAACTTCAGTATGCTTCACTGTCTCCACAAGACACCCTGGGCAGTCAGAAAGCTATACGAATCATTGACCTGAGCACTGTTAAACTACTTGAGGGAACCAATATGACAAATGCTAATGGTTACTGGTTCCCTATTGTTTTATTCCATTCCATTTTGGTATTTATCTGTACATAGAGTTAGGTATCTGTCTGTGGAACCAGACGCTGGGAATTTTATTCCCAGAACAGCAAGCTTGTGTGGGCCTTGATCAAGTGGCATGGTCCCAGGATGCTCACAGAAGAAGGGAATGGTAAACCACTTCAGAGTACTTTCTACCTAGGAAACCCTGAAAGGGGTCACCATAAGTCAGAATTGACTTGAGGCACACAGTTATTTTAATTAGGAAACTGTACTAAATAAGCAGATGAAATTACTTTTCCTAGTAACAGGTGGAGCTGGCACAGGAATTAAAAACATAATTATAGCTTCCCTCTTTTTAAGAAACTCAAGCATTGCCGAAGCGAAACAGGATGGAATAATATGAACCTAATAACTTTGTCAACAACAAGATCAGGTCCCTATCTCTTCTCTAATTGTTCAATGAAGGAGAAATTGGACACCTGCAAGCTTCCATAATCCTTTTCTAGGGACGCTAAGCTCACATTTTGACAAGCATTGATTTAGAACATCTAAGGAAGCTGGGCAAAGATATGGCTGTCAGAGTGCCTTTGTATGATTTGTAGCAGTCAACATCAGAGAGATCTGTAGTCAAGTGCCTGGCTTTGTGTGGCTACAGTCTTGGCAAATATTGACTAATGAGTTCAGAAAGATCATGGCCAGACTTTGGAAAGGTCATTGTAGAATGCATTACTGTCACCAATGCATTACTGTCACCTATGGTGCTGGAGGAGGCTCTTGAGAGTCCCCTGGACTGCAAGGAGAACAAACCTATCAATTCTAAAGGAAATCAACCCTGAGTGCTCACTGGAAGGACAGATCCTGAAGCTGAGGCTCCAGTACTTTGGCCATCTCATGAGAAGAGAAGACTTCTTGGAAAATACCTTGATGTTGGGAAAGTGTGACGGCAAGAGGAGAAGGGGACGACCGAGGATGAGATGGCTGGACAGTGTCTGCGAAGCAACCAACATGAAATTGACAGAACTCTGGGAGGCAGTGGAAGATAGGAGGGCCTGGCGTGCTCTGGTCCATGGGGTCACGAAGAGTCGGACACGACTAAACGACTAAACAACAACAACACCTATAATAATAATAAAAAATACCCTTCTCCTGAAAACAGCTTGATGTACTTGCTACTGTCGCATTTAATGTGCAATCACACAACTGCTGAAAATGGGTTGAGTCATGGTGCAATAAATTGGAATTGGGTTGAAAATGGTGCTAGTTTTAACACAATTATAGGAGTGTCTTGCAATTTGTTCAATCCTTAAGAGCAGAACTGGATGCTATATAAAATGTTGAGTTTATAATGTGTGCCATGTTATCTAATTGAAGCAGGTGACATGACTTGACATTCTGCCATTCAGCATTTCTCCCCTGCCAAATGTAGTCATCACACTGAAGGCAATGCTGTCTTGCCATGCATCTACTTCAGTTATTGGAAGTGGCCACATGTCTTAACACCATGGGACTTATTAATGTCCAGTTTGGCTGATGATCACACTCTTGAAAGTTAGAGTAGAGAGGAAGAAGAACTGGCTTGGGGAACCTGCTTTTCTTTTCCCTTGGCAAGTATATGTTCTGATCTCACCATCTGGATCAGCAACATCTCCTGACCCTTCTTACTGCTGTGTAGGCACCATGTAAGTCAACTAAATGTTGGAAAGCCTCTCTCTACATTCTGTTGGGGAACTGTGGAAACTCCCAGCATGATGGCACAAACTAATCTGACAAGTGCTTGCAAACTTTACAACAAAGCACGAGTCACTCACCATGATGAGGCTCAGTTGGCAGTGGTCATACACTATAATGTGTGTAATGATGCTTCCAGTCTCTCTATTGGGCAATGCTGTTAGCAAATGGAATGAATACAGAGCTCTCAATCAACCTCTTACTAAAGCATTAATTTCAATTCACACCTATTTTAAATCACTTTAAACTGAAGGTTGTTCTACTGAAGTTACGACCCCCCCCCTCTCCATCTCATTTGAAGACGCGTTATAAGTTGGTCACGATTGGCAGGGCTTGGTTTTAACAAATGTCTGTTCTTTTGGTTTCTTTAACCATCGTCTCATTCCTTATCCCTAGGTGGGGTCTCATTCTTCAGACTACTAATGCAAGGGGTGCCCCCACATATCATTGATTCTTATATAAAAGAAATTCAAGCAAGCAACCCTGAGGGGAAAAAGTAAAGCCTGGCCACAGTGCTTCTCCGCCGCTGCACTGGAATCTGGTCGCCAGCATGGCAGCACATTTTAACTCCTCCTCTGGCACTTCTACAGCATGGATCTGAAATATCAGCCCTTCCCCCTTCTTCTTCTTCTTCCTCCTCCATCTGCTGGTGGAAAGAAAATTCACGCATGGATTGTCTTTTTGGGGTTGAAATGAAATAAGTTAAAGCTTACCTGCATTCTGTAATGTTCCACATTGTTGTGTGTTTTGTTCTCTCTCTCTCTCTCTCTCTTTGCCATAAAGAACAAAATCTAAGCAAAATCGCATGGGAGCTAATCTTTGTACTTTCTATGGCTAAATATATTCTTTTTGTGGAAAGCAGTTAGTGCTTAACCCAATGGCAATGCGGTCAGGTCTTGAAATATATACCTCTTTTGATAAATAATAACCAGTATCCCATTGCTTTAACATGGAGCAGAAGGCAATTGCATTGTGTACCCATTCTCACACTGGTTGTGAGATCAGTCGCACAACTAAGCACAGGATGGGAAATCTGTTAGAGCAGGAGTTACACTTATGTGATTGCCGTTCCACTCCCCATTTAGGCAGGAAGATACTGTCCAATGAATCTGACATAGGCTGCTAAAAATGGACTGTTTGGTACATATCATTTGCAGCATTTGAGTTGTTTCAGCTGAACATATCCTCAGTTAAAAGGGCGTTCTTTCCTTTATTCACTTGTGAATCCCATTTCTCTCCATTACAGTTTTATGTCATGTACAATAAACTGGAGTGTTTAAAACCGAGTGAAGTATTTGGGTAGTTTGTGTTTGTTCTGGCTACCACTATGTACTGTTTTCTCAAGTACTGCTCTGATTTGGCTTGCCAGTGTAATTGCACCCTGAGGCAGGTGCAGGGGAATGAATCCTGATTCCTGGCTGAAGCACCAGTTGGAAAAGAGCTCTATTTGGTGCATAAATGCACCCAAGAACAATCCTTTAAATGTTTTATGCAAATCCTCTTCTAGTGCTGTGATATCAGCTAAGAAATATAAAATCAGAATATATTATTCTAATATGACTCCAGTACAAACCTCATGAATTGGAAAGTTTTTCCTTGCACACTCGGCAAGATGTAGTGATGGCCAATAACTTTGAGGACATAAAGTCAATTGGAGATATCCATAGAGAATAAATCTAGTATTAGTGGCTAGTCATCAACCTTGATAAGGAAGGCAATGGAGCTTCCTTATGGAGTAGCAATATACCACTGAATCCAGGTTGTGAGCGAACAGCTGCGTGAGAGGTCCAATGCTTCCAAACCTATTTATCTGCCTTATCTGTTGCCTTCAAACCCAGTTATTTGCCTCTCACAGGTCACCCTTGACAGGCAAGATGGTGAAATTGATGAACACGGTTGGTTCTTCATCCATGCTAGTGCAACAAGTTATTTGCATGAAGGACATCTGGACATAAATTAACGCTCTCACCCAGTAGGTCATCACCAATAGATGATTAAAACACGTTGCTGTAATGAATTATGCAGATGAAACAACTCCCTTCTAATACCTGTGTGACAACTGTCTTCCTACAAAAGGCAATTGTTGATATGAAAAAACTGTATGAAATATCATCACCATTGAACAACATACATAAGTTGTTCTGAATGCAATATGGCAACTGGCAGGATGAGTATTCCAGTGAACTTTCAGCAAGTATGCTAAGCAAATAAAATTTCCACAATTTAATAAAGCACAAAATGAGGATATGCAAGTGGTAGATCTCACCTAAGGTTGTGACAACATGGTCAAATATTGCAGGATTTGCCCCCCTTATAAAATGTGTGAATTTGAAGTATGTTTTTACAGACCACATGAGGCAAAGGCATTTGCGCCCCATAAAAGATCAGCAGAGGTGAGACCATAGAATTAAAGAAGGATCAGCAAAGGCAACACCAGAGGAAGGGAATGGGGTGGGGGGCTGTGGGCTAGAATGTGAATCTCATTGCATCCAGTATGAACAGTGAACTCTCAGATCAGTCCACTCTTGTGTGAGCACTGGCTGTGATTTCAAACAATAGAGGTTGTGAATCAAATCTGATGTGGTCGCACCCTGAGACAAGTTCTGCAGAATGCTACCTGGCCACTCAGTCACCAACCCAAGTTGTGCCTCTCTCCTTTCAAACTTAAACATTACAGAGAACATAAGGACAGGCAGATATTATATTAATGATGGGGAGAAACTGAAGACACTTGCTCCCGGTCTATCCTGTCTTTTACAACTTTAGCAGCAACATGGTATGCAAAACACAAGTGAAGCAGCATTCTCTAGCTGGGTGAAACACTTATGCTAAATATCTACCTGTCACATAGAGTATCGTAGTGGAACCAGGACTTGCAGGGCCCAAATCCTAGGATTCTTCACTATCGGGGACTAGGACACCACTCAGGCTTTCCTGCTCCATTTGAGTTCAGCATTTGTGATGGCTCCTCCACCATGAATACTATCTGTTCTACCTGGCACTGGATTGTTCTACCTAACACTATACTGTTTGTGTGTCATAAGCCCCATCATTGCAAACTATGGTCATCAGTGATGGTGTGAGTTGTCATCCAAGGTATCCAGAAGACATCAGGATGGCGTGGGCAACTCCTCTACATGTGTGTTTGTAAGGAAACAGAACTTAATCCTAAGGTACGTTAAAGGTTCCCCTTGACATTTAGTCCAGTCGTGTCCAACTCTAGGGTGTGGTGCTCATCCCCATCTCCAAGCCATAGAGCCAGCGTTTGTCTGTAGACAGTTTCTATGGTCATGTGGCCAGCGTGGCTAGACACGGAATGCCATGACCTTCCCACCATGGTGGTACCTATTTATCTACTCACATTTACATGCTTTCAAACTGCTAGGTTGGCAGGAGCTGGGACAAGCGATGGGAGCTCCCTCCGTTGCGTGGATTCGATCTTACGACAGCTGGTCTTCTGACTTTGCAGCACAGAAGCTCCTGCAGTTTAACCTGCAGCACCACCACATCCCAGAACTTAATCCTAGGCATATGTAATTAGGCTACAACCTTAGGTTGCCAAGATGAGTAAGGGTGCACCTCCCACTGTTACTGAACTACAACTTCCATCAGTCTGAGATGTAATTTGTCAACAAGCATGCACATCATATATTAAAAATATGCCTTTTTAATGCCTCTGACAGCCTATGATATAATGGCTGTTCTTGGTTTTTCGGGCTCTTTGGTCGTGTTCTGAAGGTTGTTCTTCCTAATGTTTCGCCAGTCTCTGTGGCCGGCATCTTTAGAGGGCAGTCTATGATACAGTTAGCTCATTTAAATCATATTTTTGTATTCTTCAAATAATTAGGTTTTCTTAAAGAAACTAGCTGGCTGGATCGCTCAGTGGTTTAGGTATCTGGCTACAGTTTCGGAGGTTAAAAGTTCAATTCCTCACTGTGCCTCTAGAGAGAAGAGCCAGTCTGTGTAAATCTTGGGATGAGGTACACAGTCTCAGGGTGCTGCCAGAAGAGAGGAACGGTAAGGCACTTCTAAGTACTGTACTCTCTACTTAGAAAATCCTGCAAATGTTTGCCCTAAGTCAGAATGGACTCCAGGGCATGCAATTATTATTATTTTAAACTAGTAACATGTGTATCACTTGCTTCAAATAGCCATGAAGGAGAAGAAAATTATTTTCTATATGTAAATGTCCGTTATTATAGAATGTATTGTCATGTGGAGTCCCTTGGGGTTTTAAGCATTTATCTATAAACCACCCAGAGAATTGCTTGTGTAACCCCTATAAAATACAGGTTTGGCCCAAAGGGGTGGGACTAAGTAAGTGCAGGGCTGTGAGTAAGAGATTTGAATCAAGGAATGGGAGAGCTGAAAGTAACAGAGCTGCTGCAGAGCACTTAAAAGTTTGCTAAGGCTCTTGCCAACTTAGTCTAGGATTTTGACAATCCTGCATGTGGAACTGATTCTTCTCTGTTATGGATACCCAACCCAGTTGAGGAAGATAATTTGGATTTTTGTCTGAAGCTGAATTCAAAAGGACACTTGACCTTTGCCACTGTAATTTATGTACTGCTGCTGCTGCAGAGGTCTTGGATGCATTGCTGTTATAATTGCCATGCTGTCCCTCATCTAACTGTGAATAGGAAGATTCATTTTGTGATACTGTGCTTGCAAGAGTCATCAACAGATGTCTAAGTGCACAAATACTTGCACTACAGGGGCAATATAAGAGTCCAAATAACAAATATTGCCCTTCCTTCCAATCGCCAGGACGTTTGCACGCAAGTTGGGCGAGTAGTCTTCGGGCTACTCCGAGGACAGTGGGTCCCTGGCCGCCTGCTACAAAGCCCTGCACTACCCGGTGACCACCGCTCTCAGGGCTCTGTGTTTGCGCTCGAGACGGAAGGGCGAAGGCCGTGTGGGGGAAAAAGGAGGAGCTCGTAAAAAGCGCCCGCCAGGCCTCCCTGCGCCGCGCAGCCAAGACTCGGCGCTCCGGAAGGCCGGTTAAANGCCGCTGCGGCGACCGTCCTGACCTTCCCTCGCCTGCCTCTTGCCCGCCCCACCGAGCCGAGGGGGGCCCGCCTCCGCCGTCACGGAAGCGCTTGAGGGCTGGGCAGCCCGGGCTGCTGACTGACTGACTAGGCGGCGTTCAGAGAGCGGCTGGGAAGCCGCCATGGCGCTGCCGGAGCCGCTGAGCGCCGCGCAGCTGAAGCGCCTGGAGCAGCACCGCTACAACGCCTCCGGGCGCTCCTTGCTGGAGCCTCCCCTGCAGCGCTACTGGGCCTGGCTGGTGGAGCGCACGCCGACCTGGCTGGCCCCCAACGCCCTCACCCTGGGCGGCCTCGTCCTCAACCTCCTCCCCACCCTCGTGCTCATCGCCTACTGCCCCAGCGCCGCCGAGGAGGTAAGGGAGCTCGCGGCTGCCTCTCGCCGCCGCCGCCTCCTCGTCCTCGCCCTCCTCCTCGCAGAGGCGCCGCTGGGGCCGCCTCGCCTTGTTGCCGTGTTGGTGAGGGGAGGCGAGCCCGCGACGTCGAGGAGGAGCCGAGCGGCCTCCGGGGAGCTCCTCCTTGGCGTAGAGGGAGGGAGGGCCACGCGTTCCTCGTTTCCAGCCGCGTAGCGAGCCGGGTTAGGGAGGAGGGTGGCCTGCCGCGTACACAGGAGCCACTCCGGTGGAACAACAGCCCGGGACGCCTTGTTGCCGTGTTGGTGAGGGGAGGCGAGCCCGCGACGTCGAGGAGGAGCCGAGCGGCCTCCGGGGAGCTCCTCCTTGGCGTAGAGGGAGGGAGGGCCACGCGTTCCTCGTTTCCAGCCGCGTAGCGAGCCGGGTTAGGGAGGAGGGTGGCCTGCCGCGTACACAGGAGCCACTCCGGTGGAACAACAGCCCGGGAGAAGGGGGTTGAGCGGGCGGGGAAGGCGGAAGCCCAGCTGGGCTCGCTCTCGCCGGTCTTGGAGCCCTTTTCCCGCGACTGACGCCACGGGTCCGTCTTTCAGGTCCTCCCAAGCGTTGGGCTGGACGAGGGAACTTCATTCCTAACTGTGGGTGGCGTCCTTTGTAATTTATTTTTTTTTATTAAGGCAGTCGAAAGTAGGTTGAGGGAGGCTTTGGTTGCTCCCAGGTAAACAGGTTAGGCGTGCTTAAAATGAAAAAACCTGCTTGAGATGCTGCGTAAAAGCATAGGATTGGATTAAGAGAGGCTAAAGTAGTAGTCAATGTATGTTGCTCTCGCTGTAGCGAACGCAGAAAAGATTAGCTCCCCTTTCCAGCTGCTTTCACTTTCCCTGGAACAGAACAACCTGTTGCCTCCTCTCTTTACCAAGAGAAAAAGAAAACCCGGTCTTGTTTTCGGAAACTTCTCACTTACCCCCCCCCCCAAAAAAAAACATGGCTAGGATTACCATCAGAGATGGCTCTGGTTGAGTTGTTGCCTTAAAATTGTTAGAGGCTTGAAGCAGAGAAGTTAGTTGATAACATAAGGGAGAGGATTCATGGCCTTCCAGATGTTGCTGGACTCCCAACACCTATTGTCCCTGGCCACCACAGCCAGAGCTAAAGGACTACGAGAACCAGAATCCAGCAACAATTGGAGGCCATAGACTCATTGCCCAGGTTTTGAGCTTTCCCCTGTCATGGTGTGCAAGGGGAGTGTGGGCCCATAGCCACTGTTGTTTTGCTGTTGGGTGGAAGCACAATTTTGTTATGTGCCATCAAGTTAATGCTGACTTACAGTGACTCCTGTCAGAGTATTCCAGGTAGAGAATATACATATTGCTGGATAGTATCCATTGGTGACAAAAATAAAGCCTTCTCCTTCCTCCCCTGTTTCCCTGAAAATAAGACGTAACCTGAAAATAAGCCCTAGTATAAGTTTTCATATTGAAGCTGAGTCTCCAATATTTTAGTCATCTCATGAGAAGAGAAGGCTCCCTGGAAAAGACCCTGATGTTGGGAAAGTGTGAAGGCAAGAGAAAAAGGGGACAACAGAGGACGAGATGGTTGGACAGTGTCATCGAAGCAACCAACATGAATTTCACCCAGTTCTGGGAGGCAGTGGAAGGCAGGGGGGCCTGGCGTGCTCTGGTCCATGGGGTCACGAAGAGTCAGACATGACTTAACGACCAAACAACAACAAATGATTTTTCAGGATGCTTGAAATATAAGCCCTACCCCAAAAAGAAGTGAAACCCCATCCTCCACCCTTGTGCCGCAACCAAAAGATGACATGACTGTATCTGAATAAATGTAGATTGTTGTACATGACAAAAATAAAACATCCCCTGAAAATAAGCCCTAATGTGTTTTTGGAGCAAAAATTAATATAAGATCCTGTCTTATTTTTGGGGAAACACCGTAGTGTTTTTCTAGCTCTTCTAATTCACTGAAGAGATAGGTGGAGTATTTACTCCTACTCCAGTTGATCCTTGCCTCTTTTGACCTGTGTTACTGTGATGTTGCAAGAGCCAAGTGGCAGAACTTATTCCATCACTCTGAAGTTTTATCTACATTTCCTGTTTAGAGAGAGAGAACCTTTATGGAAATACTCTTGCTGTATTAGGGGTGCTTATTCAAAGATGAATTTCCTCTTTTTTTTAATCCCCCTACCCTTTCCTTAATTACAGAAATTCCCCTTATTTGATAACAAATATTCCTCTGATCATTCTCTTTTTACCCCCAAAGAACAAACCCACAACTCTTTAAATTGCATCTGGATTTTTCTTTTTTTTCCTTTCTTTTGCTAAGCACACCTAATCCTTAAATTTTGTATTGGAGTAGAAGATTGTCCAGTGAAGTGTAGTATATAGAGTATTGGATTATGACTCATGGAACCTGGGTTAGAATCCCCATTCGGCCATGGAGACTCATTGGGGTGGGGATGAAACTGATAAAACCACATCTTGAATACCTGACTTACCAGGAAAATCCTATTAAGGTCATTACAAGTCAGTTCTGACTTGATGGCAGATAATAGAAAATTGCACTGTGGATCATGCATTAATATAGATTGCTTACTGATGTGTAGAGTAGTTCTCAATAAGTTAGATGTGGTTTAACTTCAATGTTTGTAAAGCAACACAGGATTATGACTGAAGCAGCCGAAGAGCCTCCCGTAAAGACTAGGAGATTTGTTGTGGTGTAAGTTTGCAAAGCAGGCTCTAGTTCACCAGAGTTTATCTCTAGAGAATATTCATTAGGCACCCTTCAGTCTCGAAAGACTATGGTCACATGCTCTGTATGGAGGAATTGGAACAGTGTCTAGTGTGGCTGAGGAGGCCAATTCAAGAGTGACAATCCCTTCCACACTGAAGACAAATCCAATCTATCCCCTGTCCAGCTCCCTGATTTTGCTGCTTCCGGGACTGCCTCTTTGCCTCGGCCTGCCGGACAAGGGTCTCTTCAAATCAGGAGAGGCCATGCTGCACCACCTGCCTCCAGGCTGAATGCTCAGATGTCAGGGTTTCTCATCTGTTGAGTTCCATTCCTAAGGCCTTCAGATCCCGCTTGCAAATGTCCTTGTATCGCAGCTGTGGTCACCCTCTGCGGCGATTTCCCTGCACTAATTCTTCATACCATCAGCCATTCTCACGACGTGCCCAAGCCAATGTAGACGTTGCTGTTTCAGTAATGTGTACATGCTAAAAATTCCAGCTTGTTCTAGGACTACTCTATTTGGAACTTTGTCCTGACAGGTGATACCAAAAATGCGTTGGAGGCAATGCATATGGAAGGAGTTCAGCTTCCTCTCCTGCCATGCACAAAGGGTCCAGGACTCACTGCAGTACAGGAGTGTGCTCAGGACACAGGCTCTATAGACCTGGATCTTGGTATATGTCATCAGCTTTTTATTGAGCCATATTCTCTTTGTGAGTCTAGAGAACATGGTAGCTGCTTTGCCAATGCGTTTATCCAGCTTGACATCTAGAGTGAGAGTGCCAGAGATCGTTGAGCCAAGGTACACAAAGTCATGAACAACCTCCAATTCTTGTGTGGAGATAGTAATAGAGGGAGGGGAATCCATGCCGTGGCCCAAGACTTGTGTTTCATTCAGACTGATTGTTAGTCCAAAGTCTTGGCAGGCTTGCTAAGACTATGGTAATGTGCTCTGTATGGCAGCCTTACTAAAACAAATCATGTTGTAGGTTTTCAGCAGAGCGGGCAACAATGACTGCATCATCTGCGAAGAGGAAGTCCCGTATGCATTTCAGTTGGACTTTGGTCCTCACTCTCAATCTAGAGAGATTAAAGAGCTTTCCATCTGATCTAGTCCGGAGATAGACACCTTTGTATGACAGCCAAAAAGATCCCAAAAAGCATTGGTGTGAGGACACAACCCTGTTTTATTCCGCTTCGGATGTCAAAGAGATCTGATGTTGAGCCATCGAAAACTACAGTGCCTTTCATTTCCTCATGAAAGGACCTGATGATGTTAAGGAGTTGAGGAGGACATCTAATCTTGAGAAGTATTTTTAAAAGGCCATCCCTGCTAACCAAATCAAAGGCCTTTGTGAGATCTATGAAGGCCACAAAGAGTGGCTGTTGTTGTTCCCTACATTTCTCCTGAAGTGTCAATCTAAGGATGTCCGCTTGGAAGCAAACCATAGTAAAGTGAATGGGTCTTGAAGGTGTATATAAGGACTGCAGCTTTTATTTGGCACATGGGCAAAATGTGGATCCTTTAGTAGTGGTTGTTGTCTCATTAGCACTAGCCAGCATGGCCTGTGATGAGGAATGCTGGGAATTGGAGTCCAGCAACATCTGAAAGGCCGCACTTAGTTCACTCATGCTTTCAGTGGGACTAAGACTTACTTCTAAGCAAATATTTACACAAAGAGTTACTGCATGTTCCACAGATTTCTGTAGGAGAGTACTAAGCTTGTGATTAATTAAACATTATTTAATGTTGGCTGGGCTGTGATGAGATTCTAGTTTATGCTGAGAGGAAAGTCTTCCAGCAATTTTGCTTTGCAGTCACTTTTACTTCCCATAGTCTTGTATTAAATAACTGTTGCAAGCCTTTCTGGGGAAGTGACAATTTGTACACATCAGACTTGCATTGTAACGGTAGAGTTTTACAGTTGGGTTAGCCAACTCTTGACTTTTCTTTTTCAAGAATGTTCTTCTTTGGTTATTGGTGTTTTACAGTTGGGTTAGCCAACTCTTGACTGACATGTATCTTTTTCAAGAATGTTTTTCTTTGGTTATTGGGGTTGATTTGTTCAGCAAACATTTAAAATGTCCTTTCCCCTTTTTGCTTGAACTATTCTCTTTTCTTGCTTTTTTCTTGATCATTCTATTTTTATGCACACACTTCTGAGTCCTCTTTTTGATCTTTCTTGAGTTTGTTAATTAATTAATTACATTTACATCCTGACTTGCCTTCGGTAAGACTAGTCTTTGGTAAGCTCATTGCTGTCTTCCTGCTTTGCCTCCTGATTTATACTGATAACAAACCTGTGAGGTAAGTCAGGCTGAGAGACAGTGGCTGTCCTAAGATCAACCCAGTGAGTTTTGTGACTCAGTAGGATTAGAATGGATTTCCCAGAGCTCTATTCAGTTATTACCTTTCCTGTCATAGTCAACACAGATAGAGGCGGCTTAATCAGTACATGTCGCGTTGACTAACAGCTACACCAAAACCAACATTTAGTGATCCTGATTCAGAGATAGAAATGTTGCTACATTTGGCCTTCATCTGTTCTATTTTGTCTGCCACTGCTCTAAATATTATTTAATCTGTGTTACCTATTTATTATGCACGGATGGGGTCAACACATACTCCTGTTGATCCGTTGGACATGTTTTAATGGTAATTGGATTGTAAATAGTGAAGGTTTTAGCCAGAGTAGTTAATAGTGTCCATGCTATGTGACATTGTGGAAGTTGAGATAAATAATAATAAATTTTCAAATCTCTGTCCATGGCTCAGTGGAGGAGGACGTTCTTTGCATGCAGAAGGTCTCATATTCAGTTCCTGGTGCTGATATACCTACTTAAATCATTGGAAGGCTGCTGCCTGTCCATGTAGCAAAGCTGAGCTACAAGGTCTAAAGATCTGGCTTGGTATATGACAGGTCTTGGTTATTCCTAAAACATGGAATTGACTTTAAAGAGGTTTCAAGTTTCTTTGCTTGTAAAAATGAGTTACTTTGGGATAAAGAAATGTGAATTTATATGTGGAGACAGGGAAGGGGAATTGGCACCAGGGATTTGTAATAAAAGGATATCCAGCAAAGTTTCCCATTTTGGAGACATGTAAAATATAGGTAGATTGGAAAGCAGAGTGGCTAGGAATTCAGGAAAAATGGTGAGAAAAAAAATACAGAGTGAAATGTCTTGTCAGGAAAAGCCAGGAACACCTTGAGTCTTTTATACTCCTCTTCACACTATCAAATCTCTTGAGCTTAACCATACTTAATTATAGTGTGGCGCTTAATTGCTTGCTAAGGATATGATTAAGATCAAAGTATAATAAGCTAGTACCCTGTTTCCCCAAAAATAAGACCTAACCTGAAAATAAGCCCTAGTATGATTTTTCAGGATGCTTGTAATATAAGCCCTATCCAAAAAATAAGCCCCAGTTAAGTGAAACTCCGCCCTCCACCATTGTGCAGCAACCAGAAGAAGATGACATGACTGTATTTAAATAAATGTAGATTATTGTACATGAAAAAAATAAAACATCCCCTGAAAATAAGCCCTACTGCTTTTTTTTTGATCCAAAATTAATATAAGACCCTCTCTTATTTTCGGAGAAACATGGTAGAAGCTTGTAACCTTTGATTACACTTCTTTTGTTGCAACAGAGATACAATCTAGGTACTAAATATTTCCTATGTTATTCCTCGAAAATATTTGTTAATGTTTTTTATGCTGCAGACTTTCCTCTGTCTGAGTAAAGTGCATGCTTTCTTCCTGACAAACAGCCACCCCTCATTTATATAGTATAATAAGTTTATGTTTGATAAGAAAATGAGTATCAGAAAGAAGCATGCAGTTAGATGTGGAGGTAGAAAAGTGGCATCGGGATAGTAACAACAGCATAGTTATATCCAATTTTTTTAAAAATTGTATTTTTAAAGATAAATTGAAACATAACCCAGAACACAGCCAAGAAGCCCGAAAAACCCACAACAACCATTAGATCCCGGCCGTGAAAGCCTTCGCGAATACATAACCCAAACAATTAATTAAAACATATGTACTGGAATAATATTGTAAATATATAGAAAATGCTGCCAATACCGTATAGTGGGGTCTTGACTTGAGAACTTAATCCATATTGGAAAGCGGTTCTCAAGTCAAAAAGTCTGTAAGTCAAGTCTCCATTGACCTACAGTGCATTGAAAACCGATTAATCCTGTAACAGGCCGTTTTTGTTCCGTTTTGGTTTTTTTCTGGTCTGTAAGTCAAATCTCAGTCTGCAAGTCAAACCTAAATTTTGCGGCCAGAGAAGTCTGTAACTCAAAAAGTCTGTAAGTCAAGCCGTCTGTAAGTCAAGGGTCCACTGTATAATACACGTGGAATAATTGGACGTTGTCACTGAAATAATCATTTATCAATGTAAAAATAAAACCTAGATAGATAGTGTTAAAATATTACAAAACATAAGTAAAGAAAAAGGTATTTACATGAGGCTGGAAAGATGTCACAGTTTATATCAGGGAGAGAATTCCCCACCCAGAGCCACAACTGAAAAAATTCCTGTTGCCAACCTCTCTGTTTCTGCAGGTGGGGCCCTTGTAAGCACAGGCGGGTACCCGGTAGAGAGCGGTTTTCCACAAGCCTTTAACAATCCACAGATTTAATTTCTCTGTGACTTCTTAGATGACATGAAAATCGATGTGTACCTCTTCAAACAGGAAGAAGACTCTCATGCCAGTCATTTTTGGTATCCAGTTTTACACTTGTAACACTAGAGTGAGTAAATGGTGCCTTGTCCCAGATCAATTATGGCGTTTACCCTGTTTTCCTGAAAATAAGACCTAACCTGAAAATAAGCCCTGTTATGATTTTTCAGAATGCTCATAATATAAGCCCTACCCCAAAAATAGGCCCCAGTTCAGTTAAACCCTGCCCTCCACTATTGTGCAGCAACCAGAAGAAGATAACATGGTTGCATTTGAATAAATGTAGATGGTTCTCCATTAAAAAAAAATCAAACACCCCTTGAAAATAAGCCCTAATGCATTTTTTGGAGCAGAAATTAATATAAGACGCTGTCTTATTTTTGAGGAAACATGGTAGTTAGTGTGTTGAATACAAAAATGCCAAGTAAAGAAACAAATCTCTTAAGTAAAGTCCAGATGTTATGTTCTGGATTGAAACTTGTTGCTACAAATGTTACACAATCCAGATAGGAGAATCAACAAGGTCCATCTGTTGGACTGACTGCGCAATAACGAATGTTCTTGACAACCTTCCTGTTCTGCCTGGCCCAAGGTTCATATTTGGAGTGTTCAACTGACTAGGCTAGCAAATCATGTGTGTCTCTGTGCGTGTATCAGAGAACAAGAGGGAAAGAGCACTTTTTAATGATAGTGTGGGAACATTTTAAAAAGTATGTTGAAACTAGTCAAAAAGTGCAAATGAACACTTGACAATAGTCAGTGAGAACAGTCAGCTATTGCATAATCTGCATGTGACAGAAATTGGCTAATAGTGGCAAAATGGATTCTTTCTGTATGTTTGTTTCAGGCTCCTTCCTGGGTGTTCCTCTCGTGCGCACTTGGACTCTTCCTTTACCAGTCACTGGATGCTATTGATGGGAAGCAAGCCAGAAGAACAAACAGCAGCTCCCCTTTGGGAGAACTTTTTGATCATGGCTGTGATTCTGTTTCCACAGGTAACATTTTTTTAAAAGTCCACATTTGTTTTTATGTTCCCACTGAAGACTGGCAAGCAGATTTACCACAAATGATACCTTGCAAATAAGGTTGCCCTGTAAATGAATTGTATCTTAAACTGCTTCAGGGATACTTTAAGTTCAGTCTTACACAGGTATTACTCAGATATCAGATATGTTCCTTTACCAAATCTAATAATTATACGACAGACTGTGCACCTTCTCTTCTATGAAATTCTACCCATAGAAAAACTCAATTTTTATAAATTACATGTAAAAGGTAAACTTGCAAAGCTTCTAATGTCTTCTCAAATCTGTGCATCCTTAAGAGAGTTCTGCCTGTTATTTCTACAAAATCTTTGAGTAATGTTTTTCCATGTCCAAATACTTAGTGTGCACATCAATGTGCCTGGAATTTGCTTCTAGTCAGCTTGTTAATATTCAGATACTTAGAACCAAGTACATGAAGTGAACAGTTTTATTTGTTTTTCTGACATATGCACCAGACAGGTTGAGAGGCCTTAGAAATTAAGAGGGGAAGGAAAGAGAATAATTGGAGTGAATTAAATCTATTTCTACTTCCTTTGGAACAAAATCTCTGTAATCAAGGTGTCTGAAAATATTAAAATAGAAAGAGTTGAATTACTTTTGTCGAATAGTTGTCATTTTATCTCTCAGTGTAATCTTAATTCAATTAAGCTAATGTTAAACCAACTATTTGTAATATAGAATCATCTGTCTACTAGGTGCTTTTAAAGAGTGATTTAGGCATCCTTGTTTTTCTTGGCAAAGCACATGTGAGCTGCCTTAAAAATATAGTTTACTTGCCAGTGATTTTCCTCTGCAGTATGCAGCAGTAGAGATGTTTTGTGGAAGTTCAAGATTGCAAACTCAGTTTAATCAGTGCAGTGATAAGGCCTACTAAACTTAATGGGTTGCATTCCCAGCTCAGAATACTTTAGAATAATTACTTAATTTTTTTTGTTCTAAGCCCCTTTAGAAGTTATACTTTTTAAAACTGATTCATGTTTCTTCAAAGTTACCCAAATAGTTACTTTGTGTTGCCTGTAAAAATAGGAATATTACGAGCTCCTGGTGTGTGGTACAAGGTGTACTGTCCTTACTGTTGCCCCATAATGGAATTCTAGCCAGCATCTGAACTCCATTCTATTCCTTCTCTGCCGTTTAGTGAGGTCATACTCTGTAATAGTTAAAATATTATTTACCGTACCAAATGAGTGAAGTTACTTCTTTGCTAATTGGCAGTCATAATGTCATACGGTTATGCTTTCATTGTTGGAGAAAGGAATGATAACTCCAATGTTAGAGCAGTTCCACTGGCTCCCAGTCCATTTCTGCACCTAATTTAAAATGCTGGTAGTGACCTATCAAACCCTAAAACCTTGATCCAAGCTCTCTGGTCGATCGTATCTCCCCATGTAATTCTCCTTAAGTCTTTGGAGAAGGCCCTCCTCTTGGTCTCATCACCTTTTCCATAGATGTTTGACAAGGACCCAAGAGAAGACCTCCTTGGTGGCTTCCCTGAGGTTGTAGAATGCCCCCCCGAAGTTAATATCACCCTGTCCTGTCCTATTGGCAACAAGTAGAAACTTTTCAGACTTGTTTTCAATGTCCAATTTCAACATAGTGCATGATGTTTTACTTCCTTTCTAATGGCTTTTTAATGTTTTCAGTTTTTCAGATGTTTTTAGATGAATGTTTTAATGTTCAAGAGCTTTTAATGGTTGAGGTATTTTGTTTCAATTTCTCTTTATTTTAACAATGTTATGAGCTTCCTTGAGTCCCTTCATCGGGAGACAGGCAGTATAAAAATCCAATAAATAAAATAAATAAATTACTTTCAAGTCACCAGTTATTTGTAACTTTTTATTTCCAAGCTGTTCCCCTCCTTTATTCAAAGGAGGGAAATATTTGTGACTTTTTACTGGTCTTTGACCATAATAAAGTATTCATTCATTCATTCATTCATTCATTCATTCATTCATTCATTCATGACTTAATATTCTGAAAGCAAACCTTTGTGAGGAAACTAAAATAATGGTTTCCATTTAAGATACAGTTTACAAAATCTGGTAGAGCAGACAATTAGCACAAAAGTGAAAACATTTTTAAAATATAAAATGCTATAACTAAGGTTTAGAAATCAGCTGGAGTTAAGTCATTCAACAATCAAAATTGCGAACAAGTTAGCGTTATTACACCATAAGGGTGGCCTGTGTTTGATATTGTGCTATAGTCCCACAAACTGTTTAATTTATCAAAATATTTGGAAACAATTTTTAGAATAGCAGTGATGACTAACTGAATCTAATTGGCCTTTTCAGTCTTTGTTGGTATTGGAGCCTGCATAGCAGTTCGACTTGGAACTAATCCAGACTGGCTGTTTTTCTGTTCCTTTATTGGGATGTTCCTCTTTTATTGTGCTCACTGGCAAACCTATGTATCAGGCATGCTAAAGTTTGGCAAGTAAGTGAATTCTTGGATACTTTGCTCTATGATGGATTTTTGAGATGCATTTGCTGTGATCTTTCAACTAGGGATATTAGATTTAACCTCATTCCAGTAGGGGAAATGCACACACACACACACACACACACACACAGAGGGAGAGAGAGAGAGATGGGTCAGCTAGTTGCTGACTTCTCTTCTCTTGTGAGATATACTGTGGTTGTGAATTCTTGGATACTTTGCTCTATGATGGATTTTTGAGATGCATTTGCTGTGATCTTTCAACTAGGGATATTAGATTTAACCTCATTCCAGTAGGGGAAATGCACACACACACACACACACACACACACAGAGGGAGAGAGAGAGAGATGGGTCAGCTAGTTGCTGACTTCTCTTCTCTTGTGAGATATACTGTGGTTGCATTAAAATAGAGAGAGAGAGAGAGAGAGAGATGGCTCAGCTAGTTGCTGACCTCTCTTCTCTTGTGAGATATACTGTGGTTCCATTAAAATTATAGTGGTTTACACATATATCTATCACACTGCAGGTAAGGGTCCAGTGTACAGTGGTGCCTTGCTTAATGACGTTAATTCGTTCCAGCGAAATCGCTGTAGAACAAAAACGTCGCAAAATGAAAATAAAAAACCCATTGAAACACATTAAAACCCGGTTAATGCATGTCAGTGGGCTAAAAACTCACCATCCAGCGAAGATCCTCCATATGGCGGCCATTTCGGTGCCTGTACAGCGAGGAATCTGTCCCTAAGCACAGTGGGGAGCCATTTTGAGCACCCCGTGGCCATTTTGAAACCCCAACAATCAGCTGTTTTGATCATCGTAATGCGAAGCATCGGTTCCCGAAACAGGGAACCGGTCATCACGCAGCGAAATTCCCCCATTTGAAACAATTGTGATCGCAAAAACATAGTCGTGAAGCGGATTTGTCTTAATGTGGGGTAATCGTTAAGCGGGGCACATCTGTACATGTAGGTGCATTCTTCTGCATGCAGAAAAAAAATTATATTCTCTTTATAAAATGCAGCTCCTTTTATCTTTAGGTTTGTGAATTGCCAATCCATAGCAACCATTATATCCCACTACCTGCTGGTTACAGATCTGTTTAAAATCAATCATTCTTTAACTCCAACAAAGTTTACAGTTTCCCCCCACGGTGAGCTGCGGAAGGCAGATGAAATTCGGCTCCCCCAGTGCAGGAATGCTGGTTTAAAATCAATCATTCTTTAAGTCCAACAAACTTTACAGTTTCCCCCCACCCCATAAAAGTCTGAAATATCAAGGGATGATGTCTAGTAGGAGTACTGGCTATTTATCCATCCATCCATTGAACTTCTGCCCTGCCCATCAAGCCACAACTCTGGGCAGTTTACAATAGAAATAAACATAAAACAAACAATGACTGAACATCCATTAGATAAGCTTAGATCTGGAACCCTGCTGTGCCACATGATAAATCAGAAACTTTAAAATCCTGGACTTGTTTCAGAAGTAATCCTTTATATGGCATAAGGCTGAGATGCTCAGAAGAAAAAAGTCAAATGCTACCAGTCTAGCACTGTTCTACTGTGTTGTATTTTACTTTAGCTCAGGGTGGATTTCATTTAAATCAAATGAATCTAAATCAGTTTTTTTTGATAATTTAAATTTTAAAAATGTCTTTGTGATTTAAATCGTGGTTTAAATTGATGTTTAAAAAAAGCACAGATTTTTATCCACCCTGCTTTAGCTGCTAGTTTCAGATTGCAGGTACTAATAAAAGATTTTCATTTCTACAGAGTCATTAGTTCTTTCAATGGTAAATATGTTTTGTGATGTAGAAATTCAGACTTCTCTATGGTTAAAAAATAGTATTGCTATTTCCATTCTGTCATGTTAGGTAATTATCTTCAGGCCTTTTAAAAAATTATATTTTCCAAAAATATTTGAACAAGTGTACTTTTTGTAATTTGCACAATACTTGGGAGAATTTCCCCAATACTTGACTTCTGTATTTCTGACTATACTAAATACTTATATAAAGTAATGTAATGCAATATGTATTATTATAAAATTATAAAAATATTATTATAAAAGGTAACTTTGTTGCTGAATTATCTTGTTGTTATTGTTTGCATTTATTCTAGGTTATATATTTGAGTAATGTTTCCTAAATGATCTCTATCCTCTACGCACACCAGATCATTGATATGGTCAATTTTATTTTCCCTCCATTCTAGAGTTGATGTAACTGAAGTACAGATAGCCATAATGATCCTGTTTTTGTTATCTGCCTTTGGTGGAACAACTATGTGGGACACAAAGGTAACTGAATACAATGGTCAATCTTGAATTATATATATTTATTAGTCTTGTGTGGATGTGTGCCTATTTGGTAGTTTCTTCTTATGCTTTGCATTTTGCCGATATTGCTCTTTTGCTAAACATTTTTATTAACCTTGTAAAAAATTAGACCTGGTTATATGTTGACTATAAAAAGCCTTTTATTGCTTTTTCTATTGCCCTTTTAAATATAAGGTGTGGTTATATGTTGACCGTAGGATGCCTTTTTCCATGTAGTTCCAGTACTGTGGCTCCTCAGTGTTGTGATGTGCCATCCTGTGCATGAGTATAGAACAACACATAGGAAAAAGACCCCATCTGCCATAAGTAATTTTTGTATTAAATTGTCCAATCATTTAGATACATGGGAGTGATCTGCTTAGAAATTTTAATCCTGTAATACTTTCAACTTTGTATTTTTTTTATTCTATAAAAGATAAACCAGCTTGCAAAATCTCCTGATTTACTACTCAGCAGAATCCTGTTCGTGGAGGTGTAATGTAAAGTTATGCCCACATAAACGTGCTGGACATTACTCCTGGCAACAGGGCATTGCACAATTTAATGACGCCATTAGTCACATAGTTCCCATTGCAGCTGTTCTGCGATGTGCTGGTGGAAGTGCCTTCTAGATAGTGCTTCTGCCTGACCAATACTGTAGCTACCACACTCATGACATCAAGTTATGCACACATGGTTATGAAAGAGGATTTTGCCCAATGTAGTTATGTTTAGTGTTGCCAGGAATTTGGATTCATTGGAGTGGTGGATTTATTTATTTTTTTGTTTCATTTGTATCCCTTCAATGAGCTCCTCTAGGTCCCCCCATGAAGCAGGTCAGGTTGAGAGAGAGCCCAATTTATGGGTCCCTAGGACTCCAGTTTAATACTTCAATGACTATACCACACAATAAATGACAAAGTGAGGTATTGTAAGAAAAGCATCAGGCTGTAAGCATAGCAGCTGCAGTGTAATTTCCTCTAATCTGAATTCACTCCTTAAATTGAATCAGAGTGTTCTAATGGGTCTGGATACAGTACTACTATTTACTATATTTTCTTCTCAAAATGCCTATGTTATGAAACTAATGCAGTTAATTGAAATGCTGAAGTAATTATTTTGTTTTGCATGAGCTAATGGATTGTTTGAGATACATCTCAATAACATCCTTTGACAAGTTTTATCTTCTAAAATGTAACCTAATAGGTTACAGGAAATTCATTTTTTTTTTACTTTCCTTTTTAATTCTGCTGCCTCTTGGAAGTTTCCTTGAAACAACCATTGAATAAGAAAGGTAAATACTTGTGTTAAAGGTCTACTATCTGAAGCGTATGGATAATGCTGTTTCATAGCATGATATACTCTAAATAAAACAGGCAGATGGTGTTTGCATTTCCTGTGGTGCTACTGCTGTTTTGATCAGTACATTTGGAGAAACTATCCATTTTTCATAACATGGCTGGAAATCGGATACATATTGTTTATAAATACTAGACCTTGACTTTGAATTTTAAAAAACTTATGTAACCTTCGGGTCTCTAACTGAATTAAATTGCTGTGTTCTTTGTATGATGTTAACAGCATGACAATCATCAGTATTTTATTTTAGGAGGAAAAATGGATAGTTCAAATTAGTTAATTTTTAAAAAAAATTATGATGGAAAGTATTAAAACATTGTAAATGTACTTTTCCTCTGCAAGATTCCTGTGTTAGACCTAAGATTGAAGATGATTCCTGTTGCTGGTATAGTGTGTGGTGCGATGTTTTCCAGTTACAATTATTTCAGAGTTATCTTTGGCGGAGGAGTAGGGAAGAATGGATCTACAATAGCAGTAAGTTCTTTTAAAATATTGTTTGATATGTAAGATTAATAGCACAATCCTGCAAATGTTTCTTCAGAAATATCTTCCATTGAATTGTCTCCTGGCTATAGCCCAGGTGGACAGAGATGCTGAAAATTGGCCATATGTAAAATTGGATAGGGCTTCTACACCTTTAATGATTGCACAGAAGAATGCATTTCAGAAAATGTACTTTGTCATGCAAATGACACCTTCTAAATTATTCATGCCCAGGAATTGCCAGGTTAAACTACTCTAATGTGTTCTGCCTGGGACTGCCCTTAGAAAGCATTTGAACATTTCAAGTGGTGTAGGAAGTCGCTGAGATTAGGTGTAGACATATCTTTCATTCCCTTCCTCAGTTGTTGTATTAACAGCTGTGGTGCTTTGAATGGTGGTTGGGTTAATGGATGGTTTAATTATGTATTCAACATTTAAAAACAAAGAAAAAGGTTGAATCACTTGCATCTTTATCCATTTGCACTCATTACCTGTTCATTTCTGGGCTCATTTCAAGGTGTTAGTTCTGTCTTTGAAATCCCCAGATGGTTTGAGACATGGATAACTTTGGGATAGATTCTTCAAATATTCTTTGCCATGTGCTTTAACATCCAAAATCCTGCTCCAAGTATCGCTAACAAATAAGATATAATAGGATCCTAAACGGAGGTACTTAAATTTCATTTTCAATTTTCACTTTTGTCAAAAATTTACCAGTTCCAGAAGGCCTCTGATTGGCTAGTTTGCTTAGGTTCTATTATTTATAGTGATGTGACCTCTGTGGTCGACATTTTTTGCTGTTGATCTTTTCCTTTTTATTCTTTATGATGAGATATGTTTTGAATTTGCTTTTTGGGGGGAAAATGTTCCTCTTCTTAGAAATAAATTATTAAATAAATAAATCTCTCTTTTTAATCTTCCAGGGAACAAGTGTTCTGTCACCAGGCCTCCATATAGGATTAATTATTACATTAGCAGTAATGATCTATAAAAAGTCTACAACTCACCTGTTTGAAAAACATCCTTGTCTTTATGCCTTAACATTTGGATTTGTGAGTGCAAAGATTACACAAAAATTGGTGGTAAGGAGTTTATATATTTCATATGCATATATTAGCCCTTATTCAGATGATATTTTTTAAATTGTCTTGAGTGATTTCTGGATTATATTCTGACTCCCTGGGAATTCCAATATACTGAGATCCAGCAGTAGAATTAATACCAGAACAGTTAAGTTTAAATGTCTGGTATTTCCTGACACCTCATCCCCAAATTTCATTAATTCATTCATTGAATAAAGCAAAAAAATACCATGGTGGCAAAATGTGTTCAGACAATTTGTGTCGCTGCTGTATTTTGTCCATTTTGTTTTGTTTTTTAAATTTATACTTGGGGACATGGTTTAAGGCTCCTCGGGTGACAGTGTCATAAAATGCCTGTCTGGTAGGTTTAGTTTAGTGTAAATTCTACAAAACCACATAGTGGGGAGAACTAAAATGTCCCACTGAAGTGGATAAAATTTAAAATCATGGAGAACTGTCTTACATATGTGTGTGTCACTGTGAAAACTCAAAAGTGGTACGTATTTAAAATGAGTTTGGTTAATTAAAAAGACTACTAGTACAATCCTATACTTGCGTGGAAGAAGGTCCCATTGAATCACTGAGTTCAAGCATGTATATATAGGATTTTAGTGTAAAGTGGGCCCAAGGTTCAAGCAAATCTCTTATAAATAGCTTGAATATCTTGTGGATTAAAAAGTGGCATTTTGTTCTGTGTGATTTAAAAACTTTAGTTTATTGTAAGATCACATATTAATACACATAAAAAGTAAATGTTTTCACAAGGCTTGGTCTCTGTGTGTTTAGTTTGCAGTAAGCAGCACAGCATACAATAATCTACTGCAGTAAACACAGCATTATGCTACAATTTCTTTTGATAACCCAAGAAAACTTTGTTGCATAGATATTTTATATCACAAGAAATATTCTGCCTTACATATAATTAATATTTTGTCTTGCACATTTCCTACATCTTATTTGTAAATATTTGTTATTGAGAAATAAAAGTATAGCCATCAGCTTAATCTTTCTTGTACTGGTTGTTGTGGGTTTTTCGGCCTCTTTGGCCGTGTTCTGAAGGTTGTTCTTCCTAACGTTTCGCCAGTCTCTGTGGCCGGCATCTTCAGAGGACAGCACTCTGGCGAAATGTTAGGAAGAACAACCTTCAGAACAACCAAAGAGCCCGAAAAACCCACAACAACCATTAGATCCGGGCCGTGAAAGCCTTCGCAAATACTTTCTTGTACTCTCAGTCATCTTGTTGAAAAAAAAACTTTTTATATAGGCCGTGAAAGCCTTCGCGAATACTTTCTTGTACTCTCACTCATCTTGTTGAAAAAAAAACTTTTTATACAAAAGAGAATACAGTATTATGACATATTAATGTAACAAGAAAACATATTGGTTATCAAAACAAAACTTGCAGCCCTTTTGTTAATGACTGGAAACTCTATAGGCCAAATTGAGTTGTTAATCCCAAATAAATTTGACTCACTGAATGAATGTGAATGATTAAATAGCATAGGTCCATGCTATTTAGGTAATAAATAGGTAATACTCATTGCTTCAGTGGACCTATGCTATTTGAGATTCACAGTTGAAGTTAATCCAAAATTTGTTTCTTTGAATATCTTTATTGTGGTATAGTTGCATACAAATAGTAATCCTTACAATTGGTAGAATATTTGAATTGTAAAGGATTAAACCAGGTGCATAAGATCTTAATTTGAATGATTGATCCATTCTTTGTTGGCAGATAGCACACATGACAAAAAGTGAAATCTTCCTGCAAGATACTGCATTTATTGGACCAGGCCTATTATTTCTAGATCAGTACTTCAATAGTTTTATTGATGAATATATTGTTCTGTGGATAGCACTGGTAAGCAATTTTCAGTTAACTCTGCATAATTTGTATTAGCATTATAAATGGTGGAAAGTGGATTTTTTTTTCCATTAGGGATTGGATGAGTGTATTCTGAATGGGTCTGCCTAGCTTTGCATCTCAAATAGATTAAAGCCACAATGCAGAATCCACAGTTTCTTGTCAGACAGTGTCCTAGATATAGAGATGCTGCAGGGAGCAATTAATACTAAATTAAAATTATCCCTTGTTCATGAGCTTCCTAAGTGCTCATAGGAAAAAAAGCAGCTTGATTTTGGGCTCTGTCCTACATCTGCAATGTCAATAGCTTGTCTAACTTAAAGCTGTTGGGTAAAAGGATTATAATAAGATAATGCATATGAAGTGCTTTGAAAAGCACTACATACAAATGCTGTTGTTGCTGTTGTATTGCAAATGAACAAATGCTGAGGTGTTGTATTCGTGGGCTGGGCCAAGATTTAGGCACATGGAGCTGTGCTGCTGGAAGCAGACTTGCCCTTTTCTTCCCAAAGCAACTCATTCAGATTGCTATACAATCTGCTAGGGACTCTTCTAATGGCATTGGCTTTGAGGGGTCCCCCACGTGAGGCACAGGGAATTTTATAAGTGGGGCAGTAGATGAAAGGACAGGGGTAGGGGGTGACAATTGTTTAATCTCTTAATTAAGCAGCTGTTTTTAAGGTAATATAGAGTGAAATTGCCTGGCTGCAATATTGTTATTTTTTAAGAGGAAATAATTTGTAAAGTCTGAAGTTATAATCTTATCTCTAAGGCAAGAATTATTAATTGTAGTACACAAAATGTACTGATCTTAACTTCTGAACTTTTTTCCTTCCCTTTAGTTCATATCCTTGCTTGATTTGCTGAGATACTCCACTGGGGTATGCAAACAGATTGCTGACCACCTTCACATACAGGTCTTCAAAATCTCATCTCCTCAAGCTCCGGAACAGGTTCAAAACCATAATGAGTGACTTATAGCTAAAGGAGAAGAGGAGTCAGGGGGAAGTGTTGAATTATGGAAAATACCATTTTAAGGAGAACAGATGTGGAAGCTTGTAAAGAGACCCAAGTGCTCAAAAGAGTTAGTTAAATTTGCTCTCAGTTTCAGAGATTATTTAACTACATAATATAAAGTTCCAGCAAGTTCTACTGATATTTATACTGACTTTGGTTGTGAGTGAAATATTAAAGGACATTTTTGTTACAGAGCATCTAGTTCTTGTTTAAAAATCTTTCTAACATTTTCAGGCAGAGATGCTTGAAAATCTAACATATTGGGCAGCTAACTGAACTGTAGACAAGAGAAAAATGGTGTGGTTTTTTAGAGTAACTTTACACTGATATAGGTATAATAACTGCAGTTAAAATTGTTCATTATGCAGCTGCCTGTTTTTGTTGAAATATGGTCAATGAACTTCGGAGATATAATGGATGTTTCTTGAATTTAAGAACTAAAACAACTAAACCATTATTCTTATATCAGTGTGAAGAGGTTTTCTCCCACGTTCCTTTATATCTGTATGAATTTGACAGATTTGGTATCAAGGAAGAAGGCTAAAGAATTTAACCAGAACTTTGTTATAATTCTTTAGAATTTACAGCAAAGTGATTTCCATACTTAATGCCTAACAATTTCCTGGGCATACAAGAAACTGTGTTTGTGAATTCCTACTAAACAGTCAGCCTGTAGATTTAAAGAAATAAGTTCATCAGGATGTTACTTTTTAAAGGCAGGGGTAATCATTTTTGTGACTTCCAGAGCCTTAATCACAATTTTTAAAAAAAAGAAAGGAAAGGGAGAATTTCACATCTGAAGTCTCTAGGCATAGTTCTCTTCATCAGGATGTTACTTTTTAAAGGCAGGGTGACTTCCAGAGCCTTAATCACAATTAAAAAAAAAAGAAAGAAAGAAAGAAAAGGGAGAATTTCACATCTGAAGTCTCTAGGCATAGTTCTCTGAAACAAGGAACACAGGTTCCCAGAATAGAGTGTTTTTTGATTGCTTGCTTGCTTGTTTGTTTTTGAGAAACCCAAAGTGATCTTAAGTCACTCCTGGTATCACCTGGAAAATGCCCCCATCCCAGCCTTCTGAGGCCGCTTGTTGCCATTCTGAGGATTTCACATTCTGGTAGGCCAAACTACAGAATGTTTTCATTTTTCCTTGACAGTTTCTGTTTTATGAAATACAACTGCAGAAGGAGGCTGGGTGGAGAGGAACCTTTAACTAGTTTCTTCTTTATAGTCTTCCTGGTTAAGAAACACAGCCCAAACATAGCACTGTTTTTCTTGAAACACAGTGGGAAACAAAACTGCTAAATCCAAAAAATGTTGGAAAGAACCACTCACCAAGAACTTGTCTAATGTTGCTCAATCACAGTTTCTGTGGCTGCATTTTGCTAATAAGAAAACCCATGGCAATTAAGTGTCAATTGATGCTTAGCCACAAATAGATATTGAAGGGGGGAAGTATAATAAGATCTTTTGTTTTTCGTTTAAACTTCCATCTCATTAGGCTTATAATTTAGAATGTAAGGTCAACAAATATAAAATATTCTAGAAGAGGGTCTTCCATATTTAAGTAGCAAAACAACGTTTTTATTTCTGAAAATTGTTGGTGATGAATAGGACTTTTTGAAGGCATTCTACCATTCCATCTAGAAAATGTTTATCTTAAAATTAGCAGTTTGCACAAAGATTGTCCTTGCTAAGAGATTAATGTATCATTCCTTTGCTCTTTTCTCTTGACCTTCTGTACATCACTGCAGTAATGGGTAATATATTACCTTCCAAATAATTGTTGGACTGCATGTCTTCTCCATCCCAACGTAGTGAGAAATGCAACTGTTTACCACTAGTTGCACCATCAGCTACGGCTTTTCTTCCATGCAGCAAAAAAGGCATTAACTTATGGCTTTAAATACTGTGCTTAGTTTATGCAAAGTTACATGTTTTACCAATATGTTTTAAGCACCTTAAGGACATGTGAGTAGATTTAATGACTGAAACCGATCTTATTCTATAGGCAACAAACTTTATTTTCATAAGTGTTAATGTTTTTAAAGTTTGGTTCCTGTTACAGTGTTCTAAACTGTCTTTATTATTAATGGCTTGCAACAACAAAAACACAGTTGCTGGTAGTGGCACCTAATAAGCTTGGTTGAGTACTCTTCAGTGTTAAATTTTTGGATGTTTAGGGTTGGTTCATAAAAGGGTTTTCATTATGGAAGCATTCCCAAGTGGCTTCTGGCTATGTATTTTAATGGACAACAAATTGTAAACTGTGATATTGGAATGTATTCTCGAAGGCTTTCACAGCCGGGATCTGATGGTTGTTGTGGGTTTTTCGGGCTGGAAGGTTGTTCTTGTTGACGTTTCGCCAGTCTCTGTGGCCGGCATCTTCAGAAGACTGGAGTAGGAACTCTGTCCATGCTCTGTTGTTGTTTGTCATATTTTTCAGTGCTGGGAGCCAGTCCTTGTTCAGTTTTAGATTTTCCTATTTTTTGTTGAAGCTCTGCTGGTGTTTATGAATTTCAATGGCTTCCCTGTGCAGTCTAACATAATGATTACTGGTGTTGTCAAAATACAGCCTGCAGAAGGTCAACGAACTCTACCCAGCCACAAGGACCAGGGATCATTGCACAAAAAGACCAGCTAAAGACACCCATCAATCACAGTGACAGATAATATCTGTCCTTTATCACAACAATACATCCACAACAAAAACACACTGATCACCATCATCACCCTATCTCCAGAAAAGGATTAAAGCTGTTCCCACAGCTATAAATATGCAACTATCCAACAAACAGAGCATGGACAGAGTTCTGACTCCTGTCCTCTGAAGATGCCAGCCACAGAGACTGGTGAAACGTCAGGAAGAAAAACCTTCAGAATACGGCCACAATCACAACCATGTGATTGTGGACTTTTTTATGGCCATGTTGACTGAGAAAAGTCTTTCCATTAAATTAATAACTCCTATCAACTTTAATGACATGTTTAATATGTCTTAATTTTGTAGATGTGAAAGCATGCTAAAAATTGAGGATAGACTTCAATTGACTGTGAACCAACCTGTAGATGTAAGATTGACCTGTATCTTACATTTTCCTCTAAATTGGTAACCAAAATAGTAAATTTTGGTATATAAATAAATTGAAACATTTCAGGAGATTAGTAGAAAAACTAGAGAGAGGAAAAAGAATGGCTCATTTTTTCTTGTTTGCTGCGGTTACTTTTTAAGGATATAGTTATTGTCCTAAAATTGTTATTTTCTACTGATATCAGACTTAAGAGACCAAATGTGTTTTTGTGAAAATTCAGCAAACATATCAGCAATTCCAAGTTGCTGTCACAGAATTTCCAGTATTTTATAACTATACAGGCACTGTTGCATTTGTAGTGTTTGGATTACTTGCATGTTACAATATGAAAATGTTTTTTAAAAAACGACAGACAAGCAAAGCTTATTGAATGAAACTTTTACTCTTTGGGAGTGGGAAGGTAACATTTCATTTGTCAATAGAAACAAACTCTTCTACGCTGCTGCTAGCATTTCATTTCAATTTTTAATTTAATTATCTGAACTGTAGTAACTATCCATGAAATTCCTTATTTAATACTACCAGTAAACTCTGATTTGTCTATCAGCTCTCTTCTTCTATAAAAGCATAGAATATATTATAGGAAGACTATGAAATAACAAATTAGTACAGTGCCTTACAGTGAAGGAAATCTCTAAACTAGCAAATGTGCATTGTGGCATTACGGAAGTTTTAATGCATTGCTGTTTACCTCTCACGTTAAAATAAATTACCCTTACTTGTTTCTTCAGACCGTTAAGGAGTGAGGTTGTTCTCCCTCCCCCTTCTGGGCTACATCCTGAAACTTGTAAATTTTTTTAGTATGATCCTAGTTTTTGTGAACGTTTGTGACTTTCAGATGTAGCATATCATTTAAAATGAATTTGCTAACGATGTGCACTTAATTGGTTAATAGGCAATGGTGGCTGTCTTTCAAATGGGTTTCTTAGCCTCATTGTGTCGATTTGTAACTTATGAGATGAAGGAAGGTTGATGCTTATGTTGTTTTGATGTTAAAGAAATATAACAGTACTTTGAGAAAGCCAAATCAAAAGAATCAGTGTACGAATTCATTTGTTTGCAGTTGTGGCTTATTAGTCTTTTCAAAGTTCAACATGAACGTATTCAAACAAGACATATAATTTTTAACATCAAATGCAAAATGTTGGCTCTTTCCCCCTCATGACTAATATATACATTGTATCATGTTACTTAGGTACAAGTTGTTTCTCCGCTGAGCCATCAGAATAACATCGACTGAAGAGATTTGCGAACAGTTGCCATCTCTTGCTGTTGCTGTTAGAAAAAAAGAGAAAAATACTGATCAAGTGTAACATTTTGTATTACAGTATTCTGACATGAATTATAAATGGTGAATATTTAATTTTTCTATTTAAATGTTCTATTTTAAAATGTTACTGAAGTTTTCATAAATCAATCTTAATACTTACAGTGTCCATCATGATTTTTTTTTGCAACATAGCCATTTCTTTGCGAAGCTCAATTTGTGCTCCTGCCAGAAGATTTTCATTATTTTTCTCCATGTCTTCCATACTCTAGAAAAAGAAATGAGTCTCATGAAAATCTGCTAGATTTCAGAAGTTGAGTGATGCCCGTGAATTAATGCAATAGCTTTAGGGCAAAGCTAACATCTTGAACACAAATCAACATTTTGGGATGCATTTTTCTAAGAAGTGGGAAGCAATTATAACTTTGCCTTTAGTAAAACATTATCTAGATACATTGTTTAATTCTTCACTATAAAAAGATGTAAATTGTTCTACAAGGAGAGAAAGATGACAGGATCGTAAAAGTATTGATAAAGCCAACCTGCACAACATGTTCATGTGTACAGATTCTTAAATTTGAATTTTAAAAGCATATACTTGACCTTTAGAAACTGCTCATATAGCTGCTTAATTGTTTTCAGTCTCTGACTCTGAACTATTCTTGCTTGTTGGAAAACTTTTTGTTGTTGCCGAAACATGTTCTAAAGCAAAGAAAGAAGAGAGGCCTTAATAAATATAGAACTAGTATCACTCAATTACATTGGGGTGGATCCAAATAATTATTTACTTATTTAAAACAGCCCTCCATATATTACAAATTATCAGGGTAGGTTGCATAGTCATATAGGGATACAGTAATGTCCAGATCAGTAGAAGATATCCTTGCTTTCTTCTCCCTATGGCTGGCCTTCCACCCCTGAGAAAATGTTCAGCAAGGGTCAGTAGTCCTTGCTGAACAAAGTAGGCTATGAGCCATGGAAAGACGATTAAATTAAGGCATTTCCCATTGTCAGAGCTTGTGTCAGATTTTTTGTGATCCTCCCAGTTTTCCCCAGAATCAAAGATTATTCCATTCAGCATAGTCCTCTGACTATCTGTAGCACCAATATTTATAGAACATTCACAAAAATCATTTTTAATACAGCAGTGGATTGGATCCTGTGGTTATTGTGATGCATTTACTTTCCTCCTTCAAGAAAGGTCCTTCCCTCCAAGGTGCTACAGATAGTCAGAGGACTATACTGAATGGAATAACCTTTGATTCTGAGGAAAACTGGATCACAAAAAGATCTGACACAAGATCTATTAATGGGAAATGCCTTAATTTAATAATCTTTCCATGGCTCATATAGAGTTCATATAGAGTTCACAATTTTAGTTCTGTTATACCCCTGGCCTTGCTTTTACTAAGCCCCTGGGAATACACACAGCAGTTTTAATCAGTTTTCCTCTCTCATCTCTGATTTATAAATGATAAATTACAATGTTTCACTGTAAATAAGAACAGAAAATCAATGGCCAACAAATATGGATATAGTTTAGTAAGATATGAAAAAGCAATGGTAAAACATTTCAGTATAATGCATCAGCTTTATTCAGGAGCACAGACTGGTCACGCTTCTGTTTTTTACCAATGACTGAAAATAGATGCATCACATTGCCAGGTTATCAAAGAATAATAAAAATAGAATGTGATACAGTATTTTGCTTTTAAAATATCAGTCTTTGACACTTCGTATATTTAAAAATAAGAGTAAGAAAAATATACCGCTAGTTTTTCTTCCTGTTCCTCTGCTTTCTGTATATCAGCATCCCATTGTTGAAATACATGCAGGAACTGTTGAGAATACTCTTGATTGACCTTCTGCCTAAAATAAATATTTTGATAATCTGAAGCAATGTGGCATGGTACACCACTACTAAATGGAGAACCTTACATGCAATGGAGAAGTCATACAGAACGCTTTAAAAATGAAGAGTTGTGTATAAGGTGTACATTTTCCCCCACAAAATTGAAAGGAAAGCATGACATGGTAAGAAATCAGCTTTGACAGTGACATTTTGACATTTGTTCTGAGGTAGATTAATGGCATAACTAAAAACATGTTGACACTTCTGCCTCACTGACATTTTATGAAGAAGCACTTCAGTTGGTTCCACGTGGGTCCAAGATCCATCTGAAGAGCACCAGAAGTGGGGCCTTGTTGCAGTTGAAAATGCATTTTTCTCCCACGGAATGCTCTTTGAACTGACATTATATGTCCAAACTATTTTCAGTAGGACTTGGTTCCAGGTAAGTGTTTATAAAATTGCAACCTACGTGATTTTATTTTAAAGCATTTGCTTTTTATCAGGACTTTGAATAATGCATTTATTGGTAATTTAATGGACAAAAACAAAATCACGTGAATACAGTCTAAACTGTTGGCAGTTGCCCGAATGTAGGTGAAGAATTATGCCAATATAAATAGTAATTTAATGGACAAAAACAAAATCACGTTTACAGAAGACTATCAAAATACAGTCTAAACTGTTGGCAGTCGCCCGAATGTAGGTGAAGAATTATGCTAATATAAATCCATCAGAATAAAAATGACTGTATTCCCATTAGCTAAGAGGTAAATGTTTCCATTTGTTACCGTACATCAAGTTACATGAGAGGTATGCAACATCAAATGCAAATGCAGACTGAACTAGCAGCAGTTCACTGAGATGTATGCTGATTGATTTATGCTAGCAAAAATAATACAATTCTGGCTGTTCATTACTGTGAGATGTACCATACTGTTAAAACTAATGGCTTACCTTTGCTCTTGTTGTGTTTTCCAAACGTGTTCTATTTTCTGATTGCTTGTTTTGAGAGAAGCCTTTGTGTACATTTCTAATCTTTTCCTTTTAGCCAGAAGAGCTTTATTGATGTCAGCTAGAGTAAGATAATTATTAGCCACTGTATTTATAGTGAACTTCTAAAAACTCCTGTAAAATGTAAGTGGGTCACATAGGGTACAACTAGATGGGGATTTATCACACTGATCCACTGTGGCTTGTTTCACTCCTTTTCCCGGTGACCACAGTATGTAGGTGCAAGCATGAACTGGTTCATCCTCAGAGTGTTCCTACCTACACCTTTTTGGCTTTCTGACAGGGGCTTCCCTTTTTTTAAAATGTGCAGGTAGGATTACTCTGTTTTGGTTCCAGCATGTGAAATAACTGGGAGTGAACAAAAGGGGCTGGCTTCTTTCAAATTCCCAATATTGTTAAGTATCTGCTTAAGCCATTTAATGATGTTGGGGAATTTAAACTTCTGCTTCTCTGCATAGCGTGAGAGAGAGGAAGCAAAGGTTGGTTGGTTGTTGTTATTTAAAAGCCCAGTTAGGGCAGCACAGATGCACAATACCTTTTAAGAAAAAAAAATTGGAAACTTCCTTCTGGAAGGAAGAGGGGGGAAAAGAGACCTTTTTTGTTTTCTATCTTTCCCCTTTCCCTTCAAGGTGCAGTGTGGTTTCCTGACCTGAAACCATCTAATCACACCAAATGGCATACTGCACCTTACAGTGACCTTAAGCAGCCCTATTCAGTCCCATCCAGCCTGCTGACCTGACAGCAAGTGCTGCTCCTATATTTGCCATCACTGAGTAATGGCCATTGTAGCACCCCAATATAAAAATCTAGTAAAACTAAGATACCCACTGTGACATAGTAGGTAAAGTGATGGACTAGAATTCAGGAGTCATGGGTTTAAATCGCCACTCAGCCATGGAAGCTCACTGGGGGTTTGGAACTGATAAATCTACTTCTTAAATAGTGCACTTATCTTGAAAGCCCTATTAGGTTTGTTATTAGAACATAAGAAGAGACCTGCTTGATCAGCAGGCCCCATATAGTTCAGCTTTCTCATCTCACAATGGCCCCACCAGATGCCTCTTGGGTACACACGAGATACCTGTCTCCTGATACTCCTCCCCTGCATCTGGCATTTTGAGGTACCTTCCTTTTAAGCCTGGAGATTATACATCCCTATCATGGCTTGTAACCTGCGATGGAATTTTACTCCAGGGATCTGTCCAATCCCCTTTTAAAGGTATCTAGGCCAGATGCCATCATCACATCTTGTGGCAAGGAGTTGGTTCCAACCTGATGGCACACAACAGTAACACAAAATAAAACTGGTGATCCTATTGTCAAAAATAGATGGGATATCCTTACCAATTTGGCCATGAGAAACTCTTTTAAAGAAAGCATGTAACAAAGTAATGTAGGGATTAATTGTTAATCAGTTTACTGTTTGAATTAAACTAGGAAATTCATGTATTTACTGGTTCATGGAAAGGGAACAACAATGTGACTTTGGGCAGGGACATAGGTACCCTGTTTCCCCAAAATTAAGACCTAACCTGAAAATAAGCCCTAGTATGATTTTTCAGGATGCTCGTAATATAAGTCCTACCCCAAAAATAAGCCCTAGTTAAGTGAAACCCCACTCTTCACTATTGTGCAGCAACCAGAAGATGACATAACTATAAAATAAAACATCCCCTGAAAATAAGCCCCAATGCGTTTTTGGAGCAAAAATTAATAAAAGACCCTGTCTTGCCTTCTGGGAAACACGGTAGTAAGGTATTATTTATCTTTTGGCTTATTAAGTAAAAAATAAGATATGTGGCTATTTAAAATTTTCAACAGATGCCATCAGGAAGTTTATGCCAAAATGTGATTTTCATTTATAATGCCAAATAAAAGCAAAGGTTCCAGTTAATTCACCCTACATGTTGTCCTATTAGGCTTTAAGCAACAGAATTTCTAGCTTGTATCTCTCAGCAGTAGCCATAATAATTCTCTCTCCAGAGTATTTTACGGGTACTTGCTGTTGGGAAGAAGCTGCAGTGAATATTCTCACATGGTGGTTGCAGGTGGCAAGACTCGGCTGGCATCTGCAAACATCAGGTGAAAATAGGTTTAGAGGACGGATGGTCCCCTTGGGCTGGAAAAACCTCCCTATTGACAAAACATTTTACCATTTTTACATTAATTTTGTGACCTCTTAAAGACTAACATGTAGTAATGGCATATATTTTAGTTGTTAAAGGTTCTGTTTCTGCATCTTCTATTGTGTAGATACTTGCATATGAGTATGTCTATCTATAGACACTTGCCATGGCTCTTTCTGTCATCCCAAACTGTCCGCTAGTGCCATGCCATCCTTCTCACCAACCACAGCTATACTGGAATATTAGCAGACACGATATAAATATTTTAACAAACGTACCTCCAAATCGTTCCAGCATATTTTGAACTTCTCCCCTATTTAAAAAATAATAATAGTACTTGAGGAACAACTATTTTTATATATTATGAGACCTACAATCTGATTTGAAGTGGAGATTATTGTACAGTATTTGTAACAGCAACAAGCAGTAACAAAATGTAAACCAAACATCTTTAAGACTGCTCTGAGTTGGCTAATTCAGGTTGATATTTAATTCAGAATACAGAATGCAAAAAGTATTAAGTATTGGCAGTAGCAATATTTTGATGTAGTTATTGAAATTAGTTCTGAATATGTTGCTACCTTTAGTGAACCCATACTCAATTCCGGATAAAGAAACATATTTATCTGTAATATTAATGACCAAAAATAAATAAATAAAGCCAAACCCATATGATGTTAAACATGTACTAGTTTCTTGTATACTCAGATCTTCCTTACTAAATAGGAGCTATGATAGGACATGATCCAGATCAGGACCATAGCATAGACAAGAGGGGACAATCCTTTGCCTCGATACAGTCCAAATACAGATCAGACTTTATTATTATCTGCTCTGGGAGTAAAGCTGAGACCAGTACTAACTGCAGTTTTCCTTCCTGGACAAGTAGCAGCCACAAGGTGAGGGGGGCACTCCAGGTTCAAATAATTAAAGCTGTTTCTTTGAAATAGGAGTGTGACTATACTGGAAAATAATCTGGAAAATGCCACAGGTTTGGGCAGGCTGATTCTTCCCCCCCCTCCATTGACTATGCAATGCAAAGGGAAAATGCAAATTAACTCTTTTCCTCCTAAATCATAGTTTTACCTCCACTGCTTCAGCTTCTACTTAAGGATCAGTTTGCATCAGTTCAGACGTGTAATAACTTCAATCAATGCAGAGAAGCATCACCTCAAGCACACATTCAAGAACAACAAGCAAAGCCAATTGGCAGCACTTCTTTTTCTTTCTTTTCTTACAGCTAAGGCCGAAGCAAAGGCTCTCTTGGAAAATCTTGGCAAGAATTTCTCCCTCCCTTTTTATAGCTAATTGCAAACAAAGGAAGACCTTTTTTACAGTTTAGAAATGAATTGCAAATTTTTTAAATAAACCTTGATTTAATAAACCTTGCCAGCACTCTTGCACTAGGGCACCTTAACACAACACCCCACAGCAAAAAAAAAACAAAAAAAAAAAACCTTATGAGATGAGGAAATAGAGGAGGAAGGCCTTGTTACAGCTTGTTAGGCAATTTTTTCTTTAAACCATGCCCCTTAAGGGCCAGGGCTTCAATTGAACTGCAAACAAGAAGAAAACAAAACTTTTATCTTGTCTCCCTGTGTAACCACTTATATCAGATTCAAATTCCCCAGGGCAAAGCATATAGCTTAGCTAAAACAATAACCTACAACCAGCTTTTGCTACTCTATGTGGGCATGTTATTAATGTTGCATAGACATCTTTAGAATTAAATGCATATTTGCATTACATATCAGTTTAAATGAAAATTAAGAAGTACTTTGGAATTACCCTAGATTGCTTTAAGAACTATAATGTAAAATTTGCAGTTTTAACAATGTATTCTGTAAGCTATATAGCAGATCCTGTACCCTCCTTTTGCCCTTTCATACTGAAAGCAATAATTTATTCTTTATTGGCTATGAGCCATAACTCCTACAAGATTGCAGTACTAAGCACACTTACTACAGAGGAATTATGGTGATAAATGCAGTGGAAAATTTAAGCTAGGCACTTTTCAAACAAGACATTTATTAGTAATCAGCTTAATTCAAACAAAATATAAAATGGGTCAGATCTCAACATCTTCCATTTCTATGTGTTCTTAGCATTTCCTCTGAAGGAAATATAAGCTACCTGCATTATCTGATACAGGTAGCTTATATTCAAAATGATATATTTTTTAATATATCATTCAAAAATGCTATCTTCATTTGTAATGTTATATTATTTGACTTGGGAATTTTCTTACAACTTATCATTTTATAATAAATTCTGATATGCTGGTAATTTTCTCTTTCATTTATTAACCTGTGTGGATAGGATCAAAAACATTTCTTCCTACAGAAAGGGTTTTGCTACAGTAGAAAAAAAAATCCTTTGCTAAAAATATTTTTCATCTGAGAATGGTCCTTATAATGGATGGAGATAACTGTTGGATCCAATCCATTTTTTGTGTGAAAAAATTTACATACATAAAATACAGAAGGTGTTTCTCTTTTAAAATATATCTATACATTTCATGCACATTTACTTAGGATATATGTTCATATAAACCCTATAAAATTTACCACCAAGAAGGCATGGATAGGTTTGCATTCTGGACAGATTGTACCAATGTATTAAAATTAAATACCTGGATATGATAATATCAAAGAATGTACTGGAAACCTAACAGATGATACATAGTTGTTAAAAATTAAATTAGAATACATTAACCATGGAATGAAAATAAATATTAAGCAATTTACCCAACATCATCTTCAACAACTGTATGAGGAGTTACTGAAGGTCTTTTTTTCCCATGTTTATCAATCACTGGAGTTTCATCTTTATTGGAAGGAAAAAAATAACAAATTAACACTTTGGATAACAGAAAATCAAGAATACATCTGAACAAACGTTCCTGACCACTTCTTGGAATCTGTGCTCTAAGTAGAGCTGCTGAAGAAGATGAAATCCAAAGTTTTTATGTAAGCATCTGGGAGGAAATTGATCATGCAGTGAAACAAGACATGCTTATAATAATAGGTGACAAGAACACAAAGGTAGGAAAGAAAAGAGAACTAAACATTGGAAAATCTGGTCTACAACACAGAAACAAAGCAGGAGAATGAGTCGTAGCGTTCTGAGAAGCCAGCTATCTGTTTATTGCAAATACAGTGGTGCCTCGCTTAACGAGGATAATCCGTTCCAATGAAATCGCTGTAGAGTGAAATCTTCGTTAAGCGAAATAAAAAACCCCATTGAAACGCATTGAAAACCTGTTCAATGCATTCCAATGGGCTAAAAACTCACCGTCCAGCGAAGATCCTCCATAGGGACGGCCATTTTCGGTGCCTGTATAGCGAGGAATCCATCCAAAAACACAGTGGAGAGCCATTTTACACAGCGGGCGGCCAGTTTGAAGCCACCAATCAGCTGTTTTAAAAACGTAATGTGAAGAATTGGGTCCTGGAGCAGGGAACCGATTGTCGCAAAGCAGATTTTCCCTATCAAAACGTCGTTTTGCGATCGCAAAACAGTCATCGTATAGTGGTTTCGTCGTTTAACAAAGCAATTGTTAAGCAAGGCACCACTGTACATGCTTTGAGCAAACTAACAGATGACCTGTACACATGGATATCACCAGATGGTCAATATAGAAACCAAATATATTATGTACGGTAATTAAAAGCTGGAGATGGAGAAGCTATATTCTCTGACAAAACAAGACCAGGAGCAGATTGTGATACTGATCATGAACATTAAAACTGAAAAAGAACTCTAGTATCGAAATATAATTTAAACAACATTCTTGGTGAATTTAAAGTCCACATAAAGAATAGATTTATATTATTAAACTTAAGTGACCATGAACCAGAAGAACTGTGGATTGAAACCAGAGATGTTATTATGGAAGAATGCAAAAAGATAATTACTATAGTAAATAGAAAAGAAAATCCAGACAAGACAGGAGTTCTGAGGGTGGGTGGCCCCGTGGCTGGTGGCTTCGGTGACACCCTCACATTTGGGGGGGTGATCCTGGCTCCAAAGAGTGGGGTCCGCAGCCTGGGGGTACATCTGGACCCAACGCTCACCATGGAAACACAGGTGGCGTCGGTAGTCCGCACTGCCTTTTTCCACCTATGGCAGATTGCCCGGCTGCGGCCCGACTTCGACACGGGGGCACTCACTACCTTGGTACATGCGCTCGTAATCTCAAGGTTAGACCACTGTAACACGCTCTACGTGGGGCTGCCTTTGAGGTTGATGCGGAAACTCCAAGTGGTGCAGAATGCGGCGGCCAGACTCCTTAGCGGAGCGAGAAAGTACCAACATATTTCTCCTATTCTGGCCACGCTGCACTGGCTGCCCATTCGGTTCCACATTGACTTCAAAGTATTAATGCTTACTTATAAAGCCCTAAACGGTTTAGGACCTCGATATTTGGCGGAACGCCTACTCCCACCAAGGTCTACTCGTATCACCTGCGCAAGTCAGGAGGTGAGGCTGAGGAGCCTGACAACAAGAGAGGCCTGGAAGGAAAGAACTAGAAACCGGGCCTTCTCGGCGGTGGCTCCTTGTCTCTGGAACAATCTCCCTCCGGTGATCTGCGTGGCCCCTTCGCTGGGTATTTTCAAAAAACAACATGGATGTTTGTACAGGCCTTCCCTCCAGTCAACCCTTGATTACCTTTTCCGTCTCTTCCTCTGCAATCTTGTATAATCTGTTAATTTACTCGTGGATGTCAAATTAAACCTGAGCTATCTCTGGAGAATAAAATGTCAAAACTGAGGCTGTCCTACTTTAGACACATCATGAGAAGGCAAGATTCTGTGGAAAATAAATAATGCTGGGAAATGTGGAAGACAGCAGGAAAAGAGGAAGACTAAATAGGAGATGGATTGACTCCATCAGAAAACCCACAGGCTTGGGTTTACACAAACTGGGCAGGACTGTTGAGGATAGGACATTTTGGAGATTGCTAATTCATAAGGTTGCTGTATGTTGGAGGTGACTTGATGGTACATAACAACATCAGTTTTAGCCTCTCCTTTGAGAGTTTATACTCAAACTGACATCCTTAGTTTATGCTTACAAATGTGTGTTACCCTTTTATTAAATTATGGCTATCAGGTGGGAAACACACAAGCAAGCCCTAAGAGTACTAACATCCCACCACATTTGTGCCTATGAAATCCCTTTCTTTATAGCTGCTGAGAATTAGAGTATATCCTTTCCTATCCATTATGTACAAACTAAGAAAGATTTTCAGCCAGCTAAATAAAGCAGCAGACATGATTCACTTTAATAGATCTGCCTGCCTGTAGATGACCTATTTGTAATTAAATACTTCCACAAGAATATGCCCAGCCAAGGAAAAATCAGAAATCTTATGTATCTTCTTCAAGATTATCTGGAGTTCCTAAGCTTTTTGTGCTTGATTAAATTATTTAACCTCCCCCCTGCCCAGCTCTGCATTATTGTGGGGGGAAAGAGGAGGGGAAAAAAAAACTCAATTAAAGTTTTGTACTGTCACTTCACCTTCTCTAATGTCCTCTTCAGATCCACTCAGATGTTTTTTAGGATCTTCTTCAAACTCGTAAGCATGCACTACTGGATCCTCTTGCACTGATTTAGCTGTTTTCCCTGCAGATTTTCTTCCTGCTGGTGCCATATTTTGTCCTAAAACATATTTAATACGGTTTCTATAAGTAACCCATCACATGAAGCTTGTTTGGATAACTAAAAGTGTAAAGTAAGGATAATAATGTACAGTACTGTACTCCAATTTTGTTTCTCTTTCTCTCTCTCTGAGAGTTTAGTAAGAGTTCAACTTAATACATCCTTTGTATAAGCACTTTTACGAAGTAATTTTATGTGTTTTGAAATCAACACTGTAGTCTGAGCGTATTTGTTCTATATGACAAGTTACTCCTCAGTTGAAAATACAGTTTTACAAATGTCAAATCCCAATTCTTTTAAAATGTAAAATTGGTACTGGTATGAAATACTACCAATGCTATTAAATCCTCATCAGCTTCTCAGTTGTTTTCAGGCCTAATTCAGAATACTACCTTTGTCATTTAATCCTCTAATTTTGAAACTGAAATTATTCCCTTCCTCCACATGGACCTGCCTGTACAATAAGTCTTCAGAGGAACCTCCCCTATGAGCACCACTTGAAGAGTCACTGGTGGAAACAAATGATAGGGAAACCTGTCTGGCTTTGCACTTTTTGTGTTTTGGGATATCAGTTTATAACAACCCAGTTTAGGCGCCTATTTCAGTAGGGAGCTCCTGAGAGTATTTCACATGTGATCAATTTATTGTTGTTGATGGTTAGTCACTGTGAATGTCTCATTTGTGCTGGAAAAACATGACATTAATAATATAACAAAGTATAGAAGAAGAGTTCTAGAAAAGGTAGCTCAGTTAGTGCAAGCATATCAGGCAAGAAACAAAACGGAAACAAAACAAAACAAAAATGAAAACAAAAACCTTGTGGCACGTGAAAGACTAACAACTATATTTTAATACGAGCTTTAATGGACAAGTCCCAATTTGTTTCGTGCCTGATATATAGGAAGAGTGAAGAGAGAATACAGATTACAAGGGGTGGGGAGTGAAACCAGAATATTTAGAGTGTCAGGGGTTTATATTAATCATGTATTTGTTTAATGATTTTTAATTTGTTATAATGAGGAACATTAAATAGAGGGGGATAAAGCCTTAAGTACTGTATTATGATGCGCATATAGAGATTATACGGAATTCTCCCGCCAACCGCGCCTTTGCCGAAGCAAATCGTGTCCGTGTCTGTAACCAACTAGGTGCCTTTCTATTTCCGACACGTATTAAGCTTCCTTGAGCTTTCATGCCTCCTTACGCCCTCAAAAAAGTATCTCCCTCTCCCTTCAGGTCTCGCGTCAACAGTTATCCCCCAGCCTAGGTTTCTTTCCGTGTAACGCCGACACTTTACGTCTGTTCATTTCCCGCCTAAATCACCTGAGGCGCAAGTTACCCGTTTCGATATGGATTCCCCTCGTCCTTTCCCGCCTTATGGCCAAGGCTTGCTTCCCGAAATTCCGGGCCACCAGGTTTGGTGCCCCCCCCCTTTTCTCCCTCACGAACGCTACTTTCTACCCTGCCTTCCCCAAACACCTATGCCTCCTCCGTCTCCAGAGACTCCCTGAAGGGAAACAGCGTGAGGTAGCCTTGGGCTGACAAGGATGTCACAGCTGAAAGACATGAAATGGGTCGTCTGTATGCGAGCACGGGCACACCTAACTCTACACGCATCACTTTCTTCCTTTGCTTTCACTACCCCCTTCCCAAGCTCAGTACACACACACACTCTCTCTCTTAACACAAGGGAACTTTAAAAAATGTGTTTCCCTCATCATTGGAACAGTCCATTCTATCCCCTCAAACAGGTTTCCACCTCAGGCTCCTACACCTGTAGACCCGTCAGTCCATTCTATCCCCTCAAACAGGTTTCTACCTCAGGCTCCTAGACCCGCCTTCACTACACAGCAGGTCAATGCTGCACACTGTTCCTTTCGAACATTTAATTCGACCCCAACAGCTGCATTCTGCCTTGCCCCACCTGACTCTGTCTGGAACTCAGAGCCCCTTTGGTTTAGGAGAGAGCGCTCCTTCAGCTTCCCTTCCCAGTTCCCTCCTCCACAACCGCTTTGCCAATTTTTTTTTCCTTGCAGTGATGCTAATACAACATTCCTCCTCCCCCTCCTGCAAGTGGAAACTGTAAGAGGAACGAGGAGGGTAAGCATAATACTCTGAAAAGGAGCCAAATCCTTCCCAATGGCAGTGTTAGAGGAGAGAAGAATCCCCAGGTAGAAGAGGCAACCTGAGATGCCATTCAAAACCAGCCAAAGCATTTAATTAAAAAACAAAATTAAATAATTCCTGGATATTTATTTGATTTATAACCCACCCATCTGGCCTAAAAGACCACTCTAGGCTCATCAACAACAACTTTCAGATATGCAGATCCTGCTTCCTACTGAGCTAATTTAGTTCAATAACACCTGAGGTTGTTTGGGTTAAAAGAATGATAAAGGGAAAAAAAAACCAAACCTCTCTCTTCCTACATAAACACCCAGTGTAGCACAATCCATTTTACAGTACTAGTTCAAAGCTCTCATTACATCTGAGGTCTGTATCAGCACTCTTTCCGCTTTTTCCCTACATTTTTCTTCTGGATATGCGGCCATACTGGTTCCACAGCCCCCAGTTTTTGTTTTAATTCATTATAATTGTAAACCCTCTTGCACCACTTTTTTTAGAAGGTTAGGCCAGTTTATTCATACAGTACAGGGAATTATCTTTAATTCCAATATTTCTATTTTACTTAAAATATAATCAGGAATATATTTAGAGGTTTAGTCTTCAGTCCTAATTACTTACAGAATATACCACATAGCATTCAACACACATACACTGAAGAATGCATTGGGGGCAAAAATGATACTGTACCATGTGAAGATTTTGCCCCTGCTGTGCCCTCTTGAAAAGAACTTGGTCTTAAAACAAGGGGTGGGTGTGTGAATCTAGGACTGAGGTGCCATTGTGACTGTGGGAAACATTTAGGGTACAGCTACACTGGCAGCAGGGAGCACATTAGTGAGGGCTGCTTGGGAACAACTGTGCTTGATTAGAACAATCTAATTAGATGAGAACAGTCTAATCAAGTATGACTATTCACACCAAAATGGCTCCTGCCAATATTATGAAGTGCCTTAATAATTGAGCCACTTCAGGATATTGCAAATTAATCACTTCCCCTGATTGGCAGAAGGTGGGGAAGTGAAAAAAAATTAAACTGCATATAACTATCACTGATGCACTGCATCAATTATAAAAATAATAAAAACAAATTATTTGACTTAAAGGGCTGGCCAACAAACTGCCTGCAGCTGAAGCCACAGCAATGGATTCAAGTACAGTATAAGTAGTTTCTAGATGGCCCTTCAAGAACATATTTTTTTAAAAAATTATAACAGATGTATCACATATTTTTGATACAGTCAAAAATATTTTTCACTTCCCCTGCTGTCTGTCAAGCAGGGGAAGTGATTAATTTGCTTGTTTTGGATAATTTCAGCAATAACACATGCTGGAACTAATCCAAACAAGAACAATCGTGCCTGCATAAGGAAAGCAGGAACCAGAAAGGTGCAGCTAGGAACACTCTGGGGACACACTGGTACACTCTAGAAAAGCCATAATCTGATCACTGTCTTTTAAGAGTGCACCAGCTCATCCTTGCAATGCTCCTCCAAACAGTGGGTTAATTAGCCTAGCTCTTAAAATACAGGTGAATTTACACCAGGTATAATATTCCCCAATTGTAAATGAAAGAGCTGCTTCTTATGACAATTATATTTGCTGCAGTTAGTTCTGATTTCAGTCTGGAAGAATGCTGATAAGTAGTAACAACTACCCAAATGACACAGTAAGTTAGGAATTGAGGGAATACATCCTGGTTTTGTTCTTCATTTTTCTCTGGTTTGTTATAAAAGAAAAAAAAACCAAAGAATGGGAGCTGCCACTACCAAATAACATAAAAAACCAACTGGGAGCTTGTTTAGCCACTTCCTGTGCAAGTGGAAGCAATTAAGCAGTATGCACTAGCTGCTTGTTTGTAAAAACCCAGGCTTCCCGCAGATCCTTGTCTTTGTCATACCATGGGAACCCATCCATTAAGCGCATGCATGTGGAGGGATCATGGAGCCCCACAGCATGATTTCAAATTACTTTAACATGTTTGAAATGAGCCACAGTGTAACCAACTTGTGCTTTAAAATTAGTTATAATATAAACTTTTTTTTTACAAAACAAGAAAAGCAAGTGGTATGTTAAAGAGGTCAAACTGGATTTATTTCATTTAAAATTAGTTATGTGTACTGGATAAAGAATAAGGTGCTCTTTCTATTTCAAAATATTTTACACTTTTCAGAACATTAAAGAGCTGGCATTTTTTCCTTCTCCAACACATTCACAGTGTAACATTCTGAAATCAATAACATTATCTATTAAAAGCATAAATTTTCCAATACAATTACACTGAAAATCCCATAACTTCATTATAAAGTAATTATTTATGTGTATGTGCTTTGAGTCTGTTCAGTTTGCTAATATCATGATTGAAGATGTTTATTTAAAAAGAAGAAGAATCAACATACAGTATCCTCCCCCCCTTTCCCTGGTTTGGGATACATCTTAGTAAATCAGGAGAGATCATGTATTGATTTTTAAAAAATTAATGCATGATATAAGAAATTACTCTATATAGCATGCTAATATACTGATACATTTAAAACAATACAATATACTGACAACTTATTTAGTGAGGCACTTCTGCTGTGAAATATACAACACTTGTACAAATAAGTTACATCCAAGCCCCTTTTACTTGATTATAGTCTGATATTTTAAATTAGACTTACAGTGATTAGGCTGCAATTAACATTTTCAGCAACAAAAGGCATTACATTGGCATAAAAGTTGGACTCATTTTTTAAAAACTTACTTTCCTTATCTATTAACAGAAAAATACAGCAATAACACATTATCAGTTCCATCCATCCCTTATCCAGAAAACATGCCAAAGTCAAATCCACACTATGTTCAAATTACAAATATTTCACCAGAGGGACAGACAACACTAGTCATAACAAATTTTCCTAATCTGAATTCCTATCCCTCACCACTGGCTATGCTGGTTAGGGCTGATGGAAGTTGCAAGCCAAAATATCTGGGGGGTTCTAGTTGTCCATACATGCTTGCAAAGCCTATATGGTCTAAATGGGGAAAAAATCCTATAATCTTGCCCCTATGCGCCTAAAGAGCAATATAGACAGTAGTACCTCTAGATCATGACCCATCCCATCACACTATTATTCCAGTTGTGTTCCCGTGCTGCAAGGCAATTTGCGACAAATGTAATGTTATAGGAATCTTCCAGAAATTCATTCTCTTTTATCCAGCTGTCTACCCCTCCCTCATTCCCCAAATTCCTACAGATACAAATTGACATACTGCAAGGGGGGAAACATTGTGAAGCAGTTAACATATCACAAGCAACGGTGAAAAGAAGAGCCAGAAGAGTTACAGTGTATGGCTATGAAGGCTGGTCCACATCCACGTTTTGAGGGTGCAAGATTGCAGTTCAAATACATATGCTTTATTGTTCAAAGAGTAGGATACAAGGAGTAAGCTATTCACTGAATAGCTATTCAATGAATAGGAAGTAACCCACCAAACAACTTGGGATGCAAGCTCAGACAAATGCATAATAGAAATGTAACTTTTCAAAATTAGATTTAATGGACAACACTACTGCAACAAATGCAGCTAAGTTTCATTCAGCAACCCTTTTTATAAAAAGGATAATGCAATCAGGAGATAATTCTTGCGAGCTACATCTTTTCCTCACTCTCCTCTCTAAGCTCAGTAGCATGATTCATACAGAGTTACAAAAGATGTAATGGGAGCACTTCTGTTCATGTCCAGGACAGAACATATCAAGACATTTCTGAAATAAAAAATGTACATGCTCATCACATGTTGAGGTAGACTAATGTACAAAACCCAAATTCTTCTAAACCTTCATTCGTTCATGGCAGACTTCTTTTTGGATTCTTCTTCTTGGAAAAATTTTCCGTTTGAGGGCTATTAACTGAAAATTAAAGAATAGATTGTTTTGATTTTTCTCATGAACTTGTCTGTATGTACAGTCACAATGTTCCATTCTGCTGTGTTGGGCAAAGGAACCTCCCAGGGTGCCTTTGCCCAACTGAGCTATCTCTTGGATGATCCATTTCTCCTTCAAAAATCAGAGCAGATTTTAAAACAGAGTTACACTGTTGAGTAGTAGTGTGAAGAATACAACCATCTAGTATACAGGAATATACAATTTTCAAGTATCCTTCTGTAGATCTTTCCTTAAGCTGATATATTCTCTCTATTATGAGGGAGGGTCACGCTTACCATGAGACCAAGTAAGAAAAGCTGCCTCAAGCAACAGATACTGGGAGCCAGAAAGATTCTGGAAGGCAGAGCTGAGTGTGCCACACAGACAAGGCAATCCAGCTATTGTCAGAGGTGGCAGGGAAAACTGCCCATAAAGTAATATGGAAGTTTACTCAACTGCCTGTGTTACTGTGTTCCCCCCAAAATAAGCCCTAACCTAAAAATAAACCCTAGTATGATTTTTCTGGGTGCTTGTAATATAAGCCCTACCCCAAAAATAAGCCCTAGTTAAGTGAAACCCTGCCCTCCACCATTGTGCCTCAACCAGAAGTTGACATGACTAGATGTGAATAAATGTAGATGGCTATACATGAAAAAAATAAAACATCCCCTGAAAATAAGCCCTAATATGTTTTTTTGGAGGAAAAATTAATATAAGACCCTGTCTTATTTTCGGGGAAACATGGTGTGTTCTGGGAATCAGCAGTCCGAATTAGCTGGATTTAGCTAGACTGAAGCATCAAAGTCTATTACCTTTTTTGCTCAAATGCAAGTATTGTCATCCTAATATCTCTTGTGCATATTTATTTACATGAATGCAATTGCACAGAATTGGACTTTTGAGCCTTCAAATGTTTGACCATAACTCTCCTGTTCCTTGCTACTGATCATGCTGCCTGGGTCTTTTAGAAGTAAAAGTCCAAAGCATCTTCCCCACCTTGTTTTAGGCCATCTACTCCAACCCCATGCTCCTCACAACCATGAGTACTGCCTCCCACTATTCTTCATTACTTTTATTCAACATTTTAATTACTTAATTTTCTAGTAATCCACAGCTCAAATCATGACATTACATTGCATTACTCATTTCTGTGCAGCCAGAATGCTATTATTGTTACATTTGATCCAATTATATACATAATTTGTTGTGTGGTGTTAAAATGTTACACTGTCCTTTTCAACAGGCCAGAAAAACTGAGGGAAATGCTTTCTGGTACTCTCTATTGGCAAATTCTGATACTGCATCTTTAACTATAAAATACCAAAGACAAAAACCAAAGGTGTACTTTCCTTCTCACTTAGAAATGATAAGAGGATGGCACAAAAATGGGAAAACTCGTGTCAAAAAGGTCTCCAAAGGGTAATTTTAAATTATCTATTAAAGGTAATCAAAAGTAACTTTTGACAGTAATACTGTAGGTGTTACATGATTAAAGGTAATCAAAAGTAACTTTTGACACTAATAGGTGTTACATATCACATCCAAAAACTAAATCTGTGCCACTAGTTTCCTGATACGTTACCTAAAAAGTAAGTAGCTACAGGTAACAATTCTATTTGTAACTACTTGCTTCCAAGCTTTGCAATAGCCACATAATTAGTTAGGGCAAATAGACAACATAGTTTTCCAGAACGCTTTACTAGAATGTCCTATCCTGTTATTGTTTTTTTCAAACTTGATCCCTCAAGAAACGTTGTACACTAGTATTAAGTTATTGAGTTCTTACCTGCTCAGCAAAAAATGAAGTGATGGTGAAGACAATCAATGTCACTAGCACACAATGTGTCCAAAATTTCAGTTTGTCTCTGTAGGCTCTCCTAAGAACAGCAGGATTAAAACACAGAATTTATGAATAAAATATATAATCCTACACACTGTAGTAAATTTTCCCTTATCTTTCTTCCCAAAACAGCACCATTCAAACATAAGAGGGAAGGAGGTATCAGATATCTGGGAAATACAGGTTTTGTGTGTAAGCAGAAGTAGGGATGCTGGTGGAAGGAACCCAAACAGCCAAAAGAGGACTGAACACTTTCATGGCCACAATATGTTTACGATTGCAGTGAAGTGAAATGGAATGTGTCACAGGACCCACCTCTCAAGTTTTACATCTACACAAAGTGCTCACACTCCACAAGTCAACTTGGGTGACAAAAATACACCAATAAGCAAAATAAAAAGGGAAATAGAGAGAAAGGAGAAGGCAACTAGATTACTGGGGTTAATAATATCTTTATATACATTTTTTTTTCATAGACATTTAAGGGAGTGATGGTAGAAATGGTAGCAAGTGAATGAATTTTTTGTTGTAAAGTCATTTTTTGCTTAACTGAACAAAGAAGGATTGTATTGACAGACATTCTGCATTTTTTAATAAAGCAAATTTACTTCTATCAATATTCAAACATTTGAAAGCACTCACGCAGCAATGCTTTGAATGAGAATAGCATTTCTTTACAAATTCACAATTACCTTTAAAACTAAATTCAGAATATCCTATAAGGACAAGTTTTTTTGTGAAATGCTGATACAGCACTATAGGACTAAACCCAATATTGGTCCCAACTAGAAAATACTCTGTTAAATCAGGGGGGTTTATGGTAACAGTAACTACCAAGTCCGATTCATTTTAATGAGTCCTTGGTAAACTCAACAGGTCTACTTGTATACTATAGCAATTGTCTTGGAATACCTACCATTCCTGAAGCTCCTGTGTATGAAGAAACCGGTTTCGATACTCTCTTGGCAGTTCAAATTGAGATGGGATGGGAAACACTGATTCATAAAAATCCCTAAGCACTGCCTTTACTGTCTGTGCATCCTTGTGATTGTGGTCAATGTTGTCATTAAGGCAAACAAATTTTCTGGAGAAAAGGAGGAAATTAATTGAGATGACAAACATATTTATAGTCAGCTGCCCTTCTATGCAGCTCTTGTCTGTAAATCACATACTGCTCATATCTTAATTGCTCTTTTATAAAAATCAGCAAACTCACTCTCTCATATTCAAGAGTGTTCAGAGTATTTATTTTGTCCATGTATTTTTAACTATAGAACTGTACAAGAAAATAAAGTCTTCTATCTTCAGTATTCTCAAAATGAACATAAGAAGTACAAACCTGGGATTTTTCCGTATGTCATCAAGTTGTCCAACAACATGAGAAACATTGGTACGGATCATTTTGAAAGCAACTTCTTCCTCTCCCATAATTTCAAATCTTGGTGTTAGAATGAAAACAATACATAAGCATAGCAGTTTGAAAGGTGAATGTGCAATAGCACTGCATGCATTACAACAAATTTAATTTGTAACTAATGCTATTCCTCTCTATCCTGTTTCCATATTGGTTATTTCTTCTGTCTGTTCACCAGTCAAGAAAGCACAGCTTTACGACCATATGTCCTCTACAAAACTCGTGTTTCAGAATAGTACTAGCAGCAGCACTTGTAGCAATGGTGGTGAGTCTTCACATTCCTGTTTACAATAACAGATATTCCATATGAACCTACCCGGCAATTACGATGTAGCCAGGGGGCCGTCCTGAAAGAAACATCCCTTAAGGAAGTAAGAGGGATGGCTTTTAGACAAAAGGCCTTTTCGGCAGCTGCTCCCAGATTATGGAACGCCATCCCGAGTGAGATTTGCCTGCCACCAATGTTGATAACATTTCAGCACCAGGTCAAAACCTTCCTGTTCCAGGTGGTTTTAATTGAAATAATATCAATTGTGGGTCCTGATGGCAATTTTTAGAGCACTGTATTTTTAATTGTATTTGAATTGTTTCATCTATTTATTGCATTCAACCTGCTGTAAGCCGCCCAGAGTCCTTTGGGTAGTGTGAGAAGCATATAAGTTAAATAAATAAATAAATAAATAAATAAATAAATAAACAAACAAACAAACAAACAAACAAACAAATATTAAACTCAACTATAAATGGAGCAGTTCCCCAAGGTCTTTTCTTGTACCCCTATATGTTCCTTGGAATACCTGTAGAATGCATAACATTATGGAAAATTGGGAAGTCCACCCTGTCCATGTTCCGACTCCTCTATTCCATGATAGAATTCTAAAATCTTAATAACTTGCACAGTACAGATAAATGAAGATCATTAGGCCACAGGAGGAGGCAAAAATCACTCAGTTCCCCATAATGCTGTGCTATCTTCATGAGCCTCGTGACGCAGTGGTTAAACTGCTGTACTGCAACTAAAACTGTGTTCACAACCTGGGGTTCAATCCCAGGTAGCTGGCTCAAAGTTGACTCAGCCTTCTATCCTTCCAAGGTCAGGTCGGTAAAATGAGTACCCAGCTCACGGGGGAGGGGGAGAATGTGTAGCTTGCATAATTAACTTGTAAACCGTCCAGAGAGTGCTTGACGCACTATGGGGCGGTATATAAGCAGCACACTTTGCTTTTTGCTTTGCTTTGAGCTCTGGACATGGCACCTTCCTAATCATGTTTCTTGTACCTTTCCTGCTATTGGTAAAATTCTCTTTCTTGTCACTTCTTCAAAACTAAATTGGTATTCCCTTAGACTTACTGCATGACTCAAGTTGTCTTATCAAACATCTCTGCATCAAATGCAACCAATAATATTACAGTCACTAGTATGAAGATGTTCAGCATGACTCACAAGAATGATGAATAAAGAATGACCTACAAACATATTTTAAGCAAAAATCATTCTTCTGTCAGTGCTACATCCTAATTACCGGACAACTGCTGAAAATATGCAGCACATTGAATAATATAAACAGTTCTTGTCTTGTCTATTTTTGTTGTTTGTTTAAATCTTAAAATAATAGAGCATACCTGTATTTGTTTTTGTCCTTATATGCTTTGCGAATTCGATCAGTCACAAGCTTACAATTGGTTAGCAGATTTTTAGTCACTGGAGGCTGAGAACAGTAGGAACAGTAACAGAGGCTGTCTTATTTATGAACACATCCTTGTTTGCATTTTGAAACAAAATATTCTGTAGAACACTCTCAGCTTTGTGTTCTCAAAGATTTACTGATACTGATGAACAGAACCTTTGACACACAACACTGATTTTATGGAAAACAACACTTTTGTTAAAAAAAACCAAAACAAAACTCTTAGCCAACACCACATTTTGTATGGATAAAGATAAATAATTTAGTACTCTGTAGCTAGGCAGGAAAATGCTTTGCAAGTCAGTTGATGACAACCACAAAAACACATCAAGCAAGTCCTGAACAGCTGATATACATTAGTCTTATTATTCCTAACTTAACATAAGCCCTGCAGGCAAAACCACAAACAGTTCTAAGAAACAACGTCCCTATTCTCAAGAGACGTATTTTATAGGTTTAGTTCTGTTCCTGGAAATCCAGTAACTGAAACAGTTTGAAAACAAATTAAGTTGTGATCCGAGAAACACAAGACACTGCGCTGCTATTTTAAGTCAGTTTTGCATTAAACAACAACATAATTTAAAAAAATACTCAAGGATCTTTTTCCAAAGGTCTAGTATCCACAAGAGATATTGGAAATACAACAATATTGAGCTTATCTATCAGGGATGCCTCATACTTTACTGTAAAGTTAAGCCTTAACATGTAACACCATTCCTCGACCTGGTGCCTTCCAGTTATCTGGAACAATAGTTCCTATCAACAACAGCCAGCATGGCTGGACATGATGGGAGTTGTAGTCAAACACTTTACAAAGCACCAGGTTACTGAATTATACTTGTAATGGATGATTTGTAATTTTCCCATATAACTTATTTTCTACTTCCTTCTCCTTGCTCTGTTGTCTTCTTGTCTTAAATTTTAGATAGTAATTTCCATTGGACAGGGACATGTCCTCTTGGTTCTTCATAAAGCATCATCACCATCATCACCAAAAACAACATAATTTTAGAAATGGAAGAACATGTAGTGGAGATGCCTTTGTGAGAATCACCCTCCAATTCTATACCCACACTTGGAATGCAGTGGGGCTTACTTATGAGTAGACTGCAAATTACATCATCAGACACTTAAAGTGATACTGATTTAGCATGAAGAATTAAGGAGATGGAATTATTGTTTATGGCCCAAATCCCAAGAATTAGCTCTATATGTACCTGGAGGTATATGAGAACGTATTTCTTGAAGTATAGCTACTCCACATACTTACTACATGGCCAAAAAACTGAAACTGGAAGGGAAGTCAGTTTTGATTTTTCACATATTATTAGGAAAAAGGAGAGGACTGCTCTTCAATTAATGAATAAAATCATTAAGCACGTTCAAGCTATGAACATATCTGACTTAGGGAAGGTTTCTTCGTAAACTGTAGCTCTTTATAGGTAAATTTTATTGGCAAGACATCCAGGCACACTAAATTCAGTTAAAAATACTCTCTAAAAAGCTGAAATGTTCAAACATGCAGCACATATATTAAAACTTAATTTTGAAATAGTATTAGAAAGGAAATTAAAATGTATTTATAAACAATTTCTTACCAGATTGGGATCATAATATGCTTCCTGAGTTGGTGGTATAATATTAATCTGAGTAATATTGAGTGGTAGGGATTTAGAACAATTTATTAACATTTGTTCCAGACCTGTCAAATCCTAGTTGGAAAGAAAGAGGGAAATGTTTACGCATTTTCTTCTTCTGTATCATAAGTAATGTGTTCTTCAAAAATTAAGCATGTAAGGCTTCCTCAGTATATTGCCATGAATTTAAATAATCAATAACAAATTTAAAGCATGCAAAACAAATTAAGAACCTCTAATATTAAAGATATTTGAACACTTTATTTAGACCTCTGGACTTCACACCTGTAAACCGAACATTTTCTCTTTCCTACCAAAATGGACCTTAATAGATCCATTATCAAAAGGTGATATTCTCTTCAGCTACCCTTTCTGCCATGACCCTTTCGGTTTTCTCCTCCCACCATTTCCTGCTTCACTGCTTTTATTTTGTGTTGTTTAAAAGGGGGGTGGGGATAAGAACAATAAGGAAAACAGAAATAAGAACGTAAGAACATGAGATGAGCCCTGCTGGATCAGGCCAAAGGCCCATCTAGTCCAACTTTCTGTATCTCACAGTGGCCCCACCAGATGCCTCTTGGGAGCACATGAGACAACTAGATACCTGTCTCCTGATACCCCTCCCCTGCATCTGGCATTTTGAAGTACCTTCCTTTTAAGCCTGGAGATTATACATCCCCAACATGGCTTGTAACCTGCGATGGACTTTTCCTCCAGCAATCTGTCCAATCCCCTTTTAAAGGCATCTAGGCCATCCTGTGACAAGGAGTGGGTACAACATGCTGGGTAAAGAATTATTTTCTTTTGTCTGTGTTCCTCTCCCAACACTCAATTGGAGTGGATGTCCTCTGGTTCTGGTATCGCGTGAGAGAGAAAAGAGCTTCCCTGTATCCACTTTATCCACCCCCTGCATAATTTTATACGTCTCAATCATGTCCCCCCTCAGGCGCCTTCTCTCTAGACTAAAGAGACCAAAACGCTGTAACCTTTCCTCTTAAGGGAGGTGCCACAGCCCAGGCATCATTTTAGTCACTCTCTTCTGTACCTTTTCCAGTTCCACTATGTCTTTTTTGAGGTGAGGGGACCAGAAATGTAAATGTAATCTATTGCCTTTTTCACTTGCAGACAAAAAGAAAATTAACTTCATAAAAATTCAGAAGCAGTAATACACCACTGAGAAGTATTCATGCACAAGTGAAAAAAACAACATTTTAATATCCATTTTTCATTGGCTCTCCTCCCCCTCCTGTTATGTGGTATTCCAGAGGATTTTTTTAAGTACCTGCAAACTTAGAGGAAGTTCATGGATTCTTGTGGCCAATGTACGAATCTCGCGATCAGAAAGAATTCCAGACTGATCTGTATCAACTTCATCAAAAACCTGGGAGATGTTCAGCGGCTGAACTGCACTCATGAGATAATAGAAATATGAAAAAGCAAACTGCATATCTTCAGAGTGCCGTACTTTATGAAAAGAAGTCTTGTCAAATTCCTCAGGAAATCTGTCCAAAAGGAATGGAAGTAAACTTAATCAAACTCACAATAATTTAAATAACTTGTCCAAACAGCATGGTGTACAAAAGCGTGGTGTACAAAATATAGAACATTGTTGGTTGTTGTGCCTGTCTTCAGCGGAAATAGGGCTGATATAATCAGGATGCATTAGTTAGTAAGTGCAGGAAAATGGGCTGTACAGGTAAATATCTTCTACTGCTGAGTGGAGAATGTTTTCTCCATTGCAATGTATTGGACGGACTGTCCAATACATTTCAATGAGGAAAAATAAAAAAATCAGCAAAAATGCACGAAGACTCAGAACAACACCAAATTAAGTTTGCATACCTTTCACAAGCTGGACTATCGATGCCAAGCATTTAAAACAGGTTTCAAACAGTTTAAGGCACTTTTAAATGAGGGAAAAGAGACATCGGAATGCCATTGAAATGTACTGAGTCGGCTTCAATACATTCCAATATAGGAAACGTTGTTTCACTCAACGATGTTTCCTATGGGGATTTTCACTGAACGATGGCAATCCGTTCCAATTGGAACAGATTAACCGGTTTTCAATGCATCTCTATGGGAAATGGTGTTTCGCAGAACGATGTTTCACACAGCGATGAATTTTTTGGAACCAATTAACATCGTTGTGCGAGGCACCACTGTATAGAGATTCTTGATGACTATATACATATACATAAACACACAGAGACGTGTGTGTGTACATTTGTGAAATACGAATTGTACGTAAATATTTCAAGGAAAAAGGATATTGATTTTAAAAACAGACTCACAGATCCTGTAATTCTTGCATGACTTTTCGATCAATCATGTGAGGCATATGAGCAGGTACTTTCCGAGATGTAAATCCAAATTTGCTGTTCAGCAGTTTATTCACATATCTGAGAGAATCAGCAAATGTATCTTTCAGTTGCCTTCCAATCTGTTTACTATCTGTAAAGTAAGCCATCTCTTTCCTTAATGCCTCTTCTTCCTAGAAAACAAGAAGATGTATCCATACATATATTAGTAAACAATCAATAAAAAGTCACTCATTAAATCGATTAAGTTACATGCACATGCTTGATGGAATGCCAGGCTCAGCATTGTAAAAGTAGCATTTCACGTTCCTAAGTCAAATAGGTAAAGGTAAAGGTTCCCCTTGACATTTTAGTCAGTCGTGTTCGACTCTAGGGGGCGGTGCTCATCCCCGTTTCCAAGCCGTAGAGCCAGCGTTTGTCTGAAGACAGTTTCCGCTGTCACGTGGCCAGCACGACTTAGACCCGGAACGCTGTTTACCTTCCCACCGAGGTGGTACCTATTTATCTACTCGCATTTACATGCTTTCGAACCGCTAGGTTGGCAAGGAGCTGGGACAAAGCGACGGGAGCTCACTCCATCGCGTGGATTCGATCTTAGAATTGCTGGTCTTCTGACCCTGCAGCACACAAAGGCTTCTGCAGTTTAGCCCGCAGCGCCACCACGTCCCTCCTAAGTCAAATAGGGATCCCTAAAGTCTAGAATTGTTCCTAGTTAGAACTTGGGACTCTTTTCTACTTAATAACAGAAAAGTAGCGTGTTGGTCATAAAAAACACCCTGCCCCCATCCTTACTAGTGTGATCGTGTTAAAACACCAAATCACATATGAAAACAACAGAACTTTTAACTTCTTTTATCATGTACTGTATAAACTAACACCCAAATGTAAATCACAATGGCCAAGCACAGATCATAGCAAGTTCTGGATGCCACAGGAATGTAAACATTTCATTCGCTCTAATGTGCCTCATAACTTTGAAGTTGTACATCAGTCGTGGGGAAAGAGCAGCTATTCTAATGCAGTTGCACTGCAGCTCCCTGCAGCCGTCCTTTACACTGCCAATGATGTGAGACAATAAGGCTTCTGGATATAATCCACATCCCTGGCTTACATCCATGTCATGGTCCAATTAATGGATAAAATATATATTTCTTTCATTTAGAAAGCTGACATTTACATTCTGAACCTGAACTGGGCTTATTTTTTACAGAGTCTTCCAAACTGATGCTGATTGTTATGTAGAATATATGACATAGTTTATTAATTTATTCTTTAAAAATTTACATCTCAGCTTTTTCTCAATAAAAAGACCCAACGTTTCTTTGTTCTCAAGGCTTCTTGATCATCTGAGTATACAGTAGAGATGGGCACCAACCACCGGTTTAGTGGTTGGTACCAGTTAATTTACTGGTGATTCCCTGTCCTGCCTCCACTGGCCACTCAGAAGCAACACTTGAAGGAGGGCCAGGGAAGCTGGGGCATTCTCTCTGAGTGGGCACTGGCTGGCATTTTTAAACTTCATAGATATATTTCTATTCATTTGATAACAAAACATCCTCACAGCAGCAAACAGTAAAACAAATACAAAAGCTCCAACCAAACTGGCACTCAAATCAATAAGCCACAAAAATCTACCCAGCACAAAATCCTCAAGTTTTGACAAGTTTCATGTTATATGGATACTCACATCAAGAAGGTCTTGGAAATATTTGTGCTTCTCCCATGGCAAAAAACCTTGATAATTTCCTGTGTAATGCTGCAATTTCCTTCTTGGTAAGGCTCGACCTTCTGCAATATCTTCTTTGGAAAGTACTGGATTGACATTGGCTTCTTTTTCCTTTTTTCCTGAAGTTTTCTTTTCCCTAATTTCTTTGGATTTCAAGGTTTCCTTCTTCATGAAGGCTTTCTCCAAAGATTCAGGCTTGCTGCCTACATCTTGTATTGCAGGTGCAAATTCAGATTTTACTAAAGAGCCAGGTCTCAGCGGGAAATTACTGTTCACATTCATTGGCACAAGAGTACTACCTACAGCAATAGGTTCCAATGGAAATATTTTGTGTAATTTTTCTTCAGCTGCAGCTTTGCCATCATTATCATTTTTGAAAGGCTTCTGCCAGTTCAAAGACACTGTCCCGTTTATCAAGCCATTATGCACATCCTTTTCTTTTTTCTTCTGGGAACTGTTTTCTACTGCCTTTGCTGATGCAGGGAACCCTTGGAAAGGCTTTAGAAGAGCAGCCTTAGATAGATTGTACCCCTTCTGAGTGATGTCACCTATTATTAGCTGCAAATCTAGGTCTTGCAAAGCTAGCTTCACATCTTCTGGAAGGGAAGAGATGTTTACTGACGGAATCACTATGTCTTCATCCAAGTTCTCAGTCGTGCCATTTGGGTGTTTTTTAATTCTTGGAAAACGATCTTCTTCCGGAACATCCTCGAATATCATTTCGGCCTCTGGCACTGAAGTTGTAGCTTTCACATCTTCCTCTGGTTTCTGGGTGGAAGTTGCATTTGTTTTTGGCTCCTCTCTTGTATCAACCTCAAGGGTTATTTGCATCTTAAACTCTTCATCATCTTTACTTTGAAATGTAAGGTTGAAAAAAATCACAGTTGTATTCATTCCATTGTGCATTATCAGGTGGATCGTCTTCCATTTGTTTGCAATGGAAGCATGGCGTATTATTGGGTTATCGCTATATGCACCTTCAAGTCCTTTCTTAGCTATTTCAGCAAAGCTGAAATAAGGCAGATATTCACCTTTCGGAATGACATAGTGAGTCTGGTTCTTTTGAAGTGTCACTTTGTAAAGCTCATTGAAATGCTCTGGGACAAAAAAGAATCATACACATCATTATATCATATTACATCATCACCTTATTGGTCCCTCCCTCCAAGAAGCTCTGGGAGATTCACGGGGTTTCCTCCTTGCACCATTATTTTTTCACAACTGTCCTGTGAAACAGGTTACCCCAACAGACTGAGAATGGCCATAGTCACACTGAATTCTTTCACTGAGTGAAATCTGAATTGAATTCCATACCAACACACCTTTTGTTTTAAAACTACCTGGGTTCTTTTTAAAGAGAAAGGCAGAATAAAATATTTTAAATAAATAAAATAAATAAATAATATGGTTTTATTTTCCAATTCCTTTTATCCATCAAAAGTTAATCAATGACACACAGTCTTGCTGGATCAGACCAAAGGCTCACCTTCCTACAATGCCCAACCAGATGCTTACAAGAACACACAAGCAAGACATAAGTATAACAGCACCCGCCTGCTGCTGTTTCTCAGTAAGAGGTATATGGAGAGATACTGTCCTGATACTACAGGAAATGTACAATCACCCTAATTAGTATGCATTGATACATACCTTATTAGGCAGCTTTTCACATCACACATAAGAAAGTTTGCCCATATCTAACCCTCTTAGCTTATAGTATAGCCTGACACAGAGGGTGATAGAATTATGTTCCTTGAAGAACTTGCATAGAAGATTATATGTAAGAAATATAATGAAAGAATACAAAACAATCTGGGGGGAAATTGTGTAATTTTGCATGCAAAAAAAGGCCCCATCTTCAATTACTTGTTCATATTTTCTTGTCCTATTCTAACACATATTAAATCTGTGGCCTACTCCATCTGAATTCTGTTATATCCCACCTCTACAAAAATATAGACATGGGCAACTAAGCAACAAAAATGCCCCAAACCTAAAATCTTTCAAAGTTTGGGTTCATCTTGCTCTCATTTTTCACATTATGCCCTGTCAAGCAACAGAGTCCTAAACAGGTTTGGGATTAAGAAAGATGAAGAGAGAGGTTTAGAGGAGTCAGTCTCTTTCTATAGAAATACTATGGCTCTCTAGTGTTTTGGCTCTTTTTCTGAAAGCACATACTCTTACTACTAGCCCCAACCAGAATATAGCCACTGAATCATCTGCTAATGGTAATTCAACACTTATTTAAATCCCACTGATTCTATTTGTCTATTCTGAGTGGAACTAAAAACTGAATGTAGGTCTTAACATATCCTGTACATTAAGTCACTGATTTATCACAGCTCTGATTTTCAATCAAAAGTGGTCACATTATAGGGGACTCAAACAAGCTGTACCAATCAAATGAATACTCTAGATACATGAGAAACAGTACTGAAGAATTCTAAACCAAAGGCCATGCTGACAATATATGTGTTAACATACCTTGTCCACAGTCACCAGCATCGAATCCACAAGAAAGGACATTACATGCCTGATCACAAAATTTATCAGCCAGCCATGAATTTGCACAGCCTTGGTTGCAGTAAGAAACTCCACTTATACCAGCACCAAACTGCCAGGGTGGAACATTCCCGACTCCTACACCAGCTCCACCAGCAGCACCATAACGGCTACCTGCAGTGTTACCTACAAAAGAAAAGAAAAGCAGTGTACCAAAATGCTAACTGACATTTCTTAACGTCACAACTGTGCAAGGTTAGACAAAAGTTGGTTAGCTGACTAAAAATTTGCTCTTAAATCTGATTCTAACATAGTTCTTAACTCACAGTATGTTTTTGCAAATTTTAAAACCAAGAGATACTTTACCTAATAAAAATGAATGTTCTTAAGCTTTCAGAACATTTATCCACTTTCCAGGTCAGTGTGCATATATGTGTGTGGTGACTATTGATTGGGATGTGCGTTTCAGATTTTTTGGATTACAAATCCCATAATTTTCCTTTTTGAGAGCCCTTCCTGCAGGATCCAAACCACACAGACACCTAAATTGTGCTCGCCCGGAGGCAAGGCCCAGCTACCCCAACTGTTGTCAGAAACGGAAAGTTAGGCCTATCTAAGGCATGAAGCCTGCTAGCTGGGCTTTCTTTACAGGTAATCAATGTTTAGGTGTCTGCCAGAAAGGAGGATGAGAATTATAAGATAAAATTAATTAAAAATAAAGATTAAAAAATCCAAAATGTGCATCCTTATATACCAGGACCAAGACAAAATGTCAACTTACCTCTTCAATATACAGGCCTGGCCTAAGTTCAGGCCTTGGGCTTCAATGTGTCCCCAATGGGATCCCAAGCTGGCCTGTTGGGGGTTCCTCAGCCCATTCCCAATAATACCATTTCTTAGTGATGTTCTTGCTCTGTACTGTTTCTTTCAGTAGTTTTCCTGCTCTGTACTGGAGCATTATTATGTGGATACTGGCACCTGAACTTTCACTCCCATACAAGTATCAGAGCACACAACAATTTGCATCTATTGCAGTGTAGTTACTACATCCTTACAAAGAAAGCTGAGCATGAGCTGCCCAGCCTGCAGTGATACATACAGATCCTACACACATGAGATGTGGTGGCTTCTGGAGTGGACAGCGAGGGAGCACCTTACTGCAAAATTTCAGGCTGGAGCATCCCTTTGCCCCAATCATGAGCCATCACTGATATGACAGGAGACTTTCTTTTCTTGCCTATAGCACTCTATCCAGGAAAACCCCTGTTAGATATGAAGGCCTCCTTTTCCTTAAGACACATCCACAGAGTAGACACTCACAGTGACACAGTGATGCTTAGGCAAAATTGTTTAAGGCCTATAAAAGGTCCCAGTAAGTTCACATAGACAACCATCCAAGAGTTTTGATAGACCCTTAAAATACAAAATTCTTTATATCCATATACTAATTTAGCACAGTTCAAGAGTAATGCCTTCTTACCAATGTACTCTAATTTTCAGCCCCGCGGGGCTCCGCCTCTCTCTCTCTCTCGGCTTCGCCCCTGCATGCGTGCACGCAGGACTCCGCCCCCCTGTGCACTGGGTTCTATCGCCTCTCTCTCTCTCTCTCTCTCTCGGCTTTGCCCCTGCATGCGTGCATGCAGGACTCTGCCCCCCTGTGCACTGGGTTCTATCGTGACCAGAACCTAATGTGATCGCTGAGCAGAGGGGAAAGACAGCCACGCGAAGGGAAGCAGAGTTATGTGAGTGCACGCCCCCCGTTTAACAGAAACCTTGCTTCTTACCAATGCAGTCCCCGCCATCCCAGTCACAAGCAGAATTGTTACAAGCTTTATCACAGTAACCATCTTTAATCCATGAACCAGGACATCCTTCAGCACAGTTTGGCACAGGCCATGTCAAATAAACCTGGAAATGGGAGAAAAAAGAGAAAAACTGTTCTTATGAAAGCATTCATTCCTTTTCAGTAAGCAAATTTAAACTCCCATTTTGCAAAGCAAATTGCTTTTCATTTGCAAATAACTTAACACTAACCCAGATCTACATAAAGCTATGTCCTTTCTCAGATTTGCTAGATCCTTACTGGGAAGTACTCCTAGGTAACAAGCTATATTTGATCTCTCTCTCCATTTGTATGCATCAAATTATTTTGTGGTGGATTACCTTTTGACCTTTGGAGTGGCTATAGAAATCATCAGGCCACACGTCCTTCCCAAACATCACATCATCATTTAAATAAATGAACTTCTGGGACAGACCTGCAATGCGATGAATATGGCTTTCAATGGCAGGGGAGCTAAAGGTGGGCAGGTGACTCAAATTCTGAAATATATCCTAGAACATGAAAAACAAATGTTACAAGCTGTGGGAATAGTGAGGAATCTTACACATGGGAGCAACCACTTTCCAAATATTATCCAGAAATTACCATGTGTTGTGCACCCCCAGTGACCCCTGCATGTTTTCCCACTCACACAGGCCAATCTTTGGACACGACTTGTTCTTTCCCCCTTTTCGCTGCCGCCAGAGGATATTACCCTTACTATATCAATTATGAATCTCACACTCCTGCTGCCAAATATAACACGGTTTATTTATGGAGTAGTAAGTAAATCACAGAAGGAAAATCATGGAAGTTCTATTATCTTTCATTCAATAAACGTGGATTTGATTACTTGTATGCCTGATTGTATTCATTTACTTTACTCAAGATCCCTCCTGTCCTGTCATAGGCTCCTGCACTAGAGCTCTAAAATGACTGACAGGAGTGACATGTGGGCTATCCGCCACACCATGTAATTTTGTATTCCATGTTCGACAAAACTATTATATGTTTCAAGATCCCTCCTGTCCTGTCATAGGCTCCTGCACTAGAGCTCTAAAATGACTGACAGGAGTGACATGTGGGCTATCCGCCACACCATGTAATTTTGTATTCCATGTTCGACAAAACTACTATAGTGGCAGGATCTATTCTCAATCATCCCAGAGTGCAGGACATGCAACGATGGGCTCAAGTTAAGGAAGCCAGATTTCGGTTGCATATCAGGAAAAACTTCCTAACTGTTAAAGCAGTAAGATAGTGGAAGCAATTACCTTGAGAGGTGGTGAGTGCTCCAACACTGGAGGCATTCAAGAGAAACTGAGACAACCACCTGGCAGATATCCTTTGATTTCTATTCCTGCATTGAGCAGGGGGTTGGACTTGATGGCCTCATTGGACCCTTCAAACTTCAGTATTCTATGATTCTATGAAAAAGCTTTGCCTCTACAAAATACATGTCATTCTCTCACATGCTCCTTTGTCTGATTTTCAAAACAATGTTTCAGCATGAAAAAAAGATATGTGGATGTCAACATGGCAATTCAGAACTGCTCTCAACTAAGAGTCAAATCCTTTCTAATAAAATGAAAGAAATCACATTGGTTCTTCCATGACAACTCAGTGTCACCCTCTTGCTCCATCCTCTACAAAATACATGTCATTCTCTCACATGCTCCTTTGTCTGATTTTCAAAACAATGTTTCAGCATGAAAAAAAGATATGTGGATGTCAACATGGCAATTCAGAACTGCTCTCAACTAAGAGTCAAATCCTTTCTAATAAAATGAAAGAAATCACATTGGTTCTTCCATGACAACTCAGTGTCACCCTCTTGCTCCATAGGTGAATTGTTCTTCCATGACAACTCAGTGTCACCCTCAAATGAGCTGCAAGTGTATGCAATCTCTTCTTGCTCCACAGGTGAATTATATTTTAGTTAGTAATTTATGGTTAACCACAGGACTGCTGCAATATCTGGATCAGAACAATACTTCAAATCATAGTTAATAAACATAATCTAAAGTAATCCTCCAGTTTTATATGGACAATGAGTACCAACCATAGTCTACCAATTTGCAAGGTACTAAATATAGATATGGAACCCAGCTTTCAAAATCTAACCATAGTTAACCACTCATTATTGACATGGATGACACAGAATACCAGGCTGAAACAAAAGTGTTAAATGAACTGCTTTGAAACTTCTTTCTTTTGCAATGAAGGAGCTCAAAGGCCTGAGTTCACATTAGACTATATGCAAATGCTGCCACTGTCTGTTCTAATCAGATACATTGATGTTGTAGGGTTTTTAAAAAATCATTTACAAAATGATGAGGATCTGACTTTTTTTTACCTGATGTGTTACTATAGTTATCCGAGGGTTATCCAAATTAAGCCAGGAAGGAATCTGCCCATTTGTGACTATGAAGATGTGTCGCACCCATGGCGCATGCCTCTCTATTGATCGCAATGAATATCGTAGCTCCTCATTATCTTCAAACCTGCTGGCAGAAATATCTTCATCCTGTTTGGACTATTAAAAATAGGATTGCACACATTATATGAAAATAAGGAGAGTGGACTCATTTGAGAACTATCATTATTCAATTACTTTTGATACTGTTCTTCCAGAGAGACAATTTGGGAATGGGGAAAGATAAAGTATACAATCTTTCTTTCTTTTTTTTCCAGGTTGGGAAACAAAGGAGAGTGACAACCCAGGAATATATTTGGAAAGTACACATAGAAAAAAAATGGGGAAAAAAGTGGGAAAGAAGAGTGAGGAGAAGTTTTGGTAGTTATAAGCATCCAGTTACAACCAATCCTATCTCTCATGTTGATGCATCTAGCTATCAATAGACTAAAGGTATCATTCCATAAGTCATTCCTGCAACCAGTTCCCTTCATAGCATTCTAGTGAGCTGGTGCATTCATGGGAAGTTCATGGAAACATTTCCAGGCACAGCATTTCCCTGAATATAGAACAACCTTTCAAGAATTACATTTTCCAGTTCCCTGGTTTGCACCATCCCTACAACACATTTTCATGGGAATAACTGTTAAGAGGAGCTATCACAGACAATGTGTTGTATAATTGGTCCTCTTTTAGGAAACAAAAGAATATAACAATGGCTCCTGTTTTGAGCAAAGTTCAGTTCAGCAGAAAAGAGTTCCTTTAATACCTGATAAGTTATCAAATCTTCAGCCCCCAATTCTTCCACTGATGGAAATCTTAAAAATCCAGTTAGGCCAGTACTCAACCTAGTCTCATGTTAAAATGAGTGCCCAAACACATGAGGGGCTTTTTTTCATATAACAATAAGCCAGGTTGCAGTTGGTTAAATTCTGGTTTGCTATTTTGTCCAAACCCATCAGTGAAAAGAAACCACAGATTGACATCCAGATACAAACTACAATTGAAAGCCACGTTTTATTGTTAGTTTGCAAATTTACACTGGATTAAACCATGGCTTGCTGTTATGTCTGGATCTATAACTATAGCTTGTCCTTGGCTCATCTCTTCACCAATCCCATGCTTAAATACAAGCTTTAAAAGGGACAAAAAAGAATTAGACCAGAAACAGACAAAATGAACTGTGGACTTAAGTAACAAACCACAGCTACTATAATGAACCAATGTATCCCGGATCTCTTTCTCTGAGCCAGATTACTTTTACAGCATACAGAAAACATTTTTCAAACTGTCCCCAATAATCTCTATATTAGCATAAAAAGTTCCCCACATCAAATAATTATTTAAATAATATTAAGCCTCATCACAATTGTAATTTGATAAATTAGAAACTGATGCCTACCTGGCTGATAGCACTGAGATCCCATAATAAATAAGCAGGACTAAGAGTCAGTTCTTTCCCTTCTATAGTCATGTTCTTCTTAGCTTGCTGATTCAGTTCTTGGAAGCCCTTTGGATTATTCAATTGCAAGAGAGCTACACCGGCTTCTGAATAAAGCTGCAACTACATTGAGACAAAGTATTTTAAGCCTGGCATGTAATTTCAAATTAAACATTCCTCTTTTTTTCCCTCCAGTGTAATTCATTGGTTTTGCAGTATTTTACCATAATAATCAGGGTTGTTCACATTTTTCCAAAACACACTTTGCAAGACCAAGAACGCTACCCCTAAATGCAGCTAGATTCCCAGAATTTTTTTCACTGCATTCCTCGGATTGTGGATTTGGTCCTATTTGTTTATTTCCTCTTTTTAAACTAATGAACTTCATAGTTGTGTTATATCTAGTCTTTCGACATGAGAATAAAATGTAAACTGATTATCCTTGACACTACAGCATATCCTAAGATCAAGTTTCCATAAATGGTTGTTTGTTTAGGTCTGCATTCACCAAGGTACATTTTAAAGACAGCTTAAAGGAACTAGAAATCTGAGACACAAAAAGGCTCCAGACCGAATCCATTTGTGGATCTTCTCCACATTTTCAGCCAAGATCACCAGTCCACTGCTAAGGTCATTTGTTACTGGGGAACCGTTTGATCTGCATGCTATTTTTATCATTTGCCATTAGTTATTCTAGAGATCAGCTTTCATAATAAGCAAGATGAAAAAACTTTATGCTAGGCACTAAATCCAACAGGAAACATGGTCTGCAAAGGACAAGAATGATTACATGTACAAATAATAATATACTAAAAACTAGTTTTACACCGAAGGGGTCTTATAACGACAAGAATGATTACATGTACAAATAATAACATATTAAAAACTAGTTTTACGCCGAAGGGGTCTCATTGTTATGTGCCTGACATAAATACAGTATACCACATTCCAAAGACTTGAAATTCACCTTGGGGATTAAAACATAACTATCCTAAGTACCTTTTTTCACAGTTGTTCACAACATTTCTTCTGTCCCTGGGAACCCAATCAATAAAGGTTCTCCAAGTGGAGTCAATCAGATTTGGCTACATGGTTGTACCAATGAAAAGCAATAAAAGTTCAGTAAGAACTTCAGTCAGAACTAATGGGGGATGGGTGAAAAAGGGACTGCATCCCAATTGATGTAGTAAATGAGCCAAAGTACCTGTGCTGTATTAGTGGCTTCACTGCTTGCCAGCATGGTGAAATAAGCAGCATTACCCCTGGAGGCTTCAGCAGTGGAGACCTAACTTCCTTCCCCACCACCACAGAACTGGCACATCACTTTTGTCCCCTCAGTTTCTGGGTTTATTTCTTTTGTTTTTGCAGTACTGTTCAGAATGTCACTCGTGGTCAATTTAGGCAGTACATTTATAGTTCCCAAAGAGGGGGTTATTTCATAGAAGCAAAAAGCAATCTTTTGGCTCTGTTATTACTAAAACCATTTAATGCTTCTTAGCAGTACTGTATATCATAAAAAACAAACAAGCAAACAACAACAAACTAACTACCCTGTTTCCCCGAAAATAAGATCTAACCTGAAAATAAGCCCTAGTATGATTTTTCAGGATGCTCGCAATATAAGCCCTACCCCAAAAATAAGCCCAAGTTAAATGAAACCCTGCCCTCTACCACTGTGCAGCAACCAGAAGATGACATGACTGTAAAATAAAACATCCCATGAAAATAAGCCCTAATGCATTTTTGGAGCAAAAATTAATATAAGACCCTGTCTTATTTTCAGGGAAACACGGTAGCCAACTAAGTTAATCTTAAAGTAATATTAGGTGCAAACAAAACCTATTAAGTTTAGGACTGATCTTTCCTCCTCTCCTTTCAGACAATTATTCATTTTACCTTCTCCCATCCCACATTAGTTGAACATTAAACCAGCTGTCCCACTTGTGACATTTTAAGGTTGTTGATAGTTTGAATTCATGGGCTACCTGATAGCTCCAGATCTGACTCATGCAGTCTATCATTAGAAAAATCTGATAAATCTCAGCCCTTCCAGAGAATCATATCTGGACATACGGATGAAATATGGCAGTTGTTAAGACTGAGGTAGGTTTATGAAGAGCAGTAAGCACTCTCCAAAAATAATGCTGTGGAAATACTGATGATTACAGAGCTGCCATCAGCAGCCTCGTGTTTATTTAGGAGTACAAACAGTGTCACGCTCTCCCTTCTACGGTCTGTCATCAAATATATATTTATTCGCTGACGGGCAGAACTTTCCATTCCTCCCAGGAACATGGTATTAAAGACATGGGATTTCCATCTGTCTCATGTTCCCCATTTCAGCTGCTAAGGAAACAGACAGATTATGGCATTTCCCCAAATGGAATAAAGGTCAACTTTTGTCCTGGTTTTCACAAAGGTTCCAAGTTCTGGAGTAGGAGGCTTCTACACCCCAAGATGTATGTCAAAGAAATGAGTCAACAAAGATGAGAAAAAAATCTATAACAAAGGGTTATAACAATAACGAGTGGCAAAATTAAGCAAATGACTCTCCTCCTTCCCTTCTAATCCCCAAAAACACATTGTTAGGCTCAGTTCTTTAATTCCAAGTCTACGTCTTTTGAACCTGGCTGTGGTTGGTGGATCAGGGGCACAAAGCTGAAGTTAGCCGCCTTCCCACCCATAGCCCATGCAATGGTGCTTTCTGTATTTTACATCCACTGACTTAACAGTGCAGTTCAGACCCACCCACGGACACTCTATGCAACACAGACATTCCCCAAATCTCAAGGCAGGACAGTTGGGCAATCTGATTCCCATGTCCCCATGGAACAGAGATAGGCAAAATGTGATACTCTAGAGGTGGCTGGACTCCAACTATCAGTAGCTGTAGCCAACCAAACCAATGGTGAGGAATGCACCAATCTTGGGAGGATCATGCTTTGCTCCTCTCTGCCCTGAGTTAAGGTATTCAGACTAACAGCTCTGGTCAAACCAGAGTACATGGTACAGAAGTCTGGAATCAAACTGCATAGAAGCAGGGATATTGTAACAAAGGGATAAGCTGGAAATATGCGTACCCTAGTGTAATGAAGGTCCCTCAGAACAGAGAACACCTTATCTTGTTTAAGAAAAGCAACCCCAAAAACAATCTACAGTGCAGATGGCAGCCAAAAAACAAAGTTATCCTATGACAGACTATGATTAAAGTTAAGAATACAGCCTCTGTTTTTTAACTCAGCTTACACAACATGCTAATATATTATGCGCAGGTATAATTATCAGAAAACAAAACAAGAAGATGTCATCTTGTATTGTCTATAACTAGCATTATTGCCACAGGCTTCAGCTCCAGTGATTTCAGGAAGAGGCATCACAAGTTATTCGAACAGACTTAAAATTAGGCTTGGAACAAATGTCAGGCATAAAGCTTCTGGCCCAATAAAAGCACAACTTTTTGGAAAACTTATTTATAGACCACTTTTACAAAACCTTGGACTCAAGTTATCTCCATCTGTTTGGGTAGACTGACACCTAGTGGCTAAAGCTAATTCATATACACCATTCCAATACGGATTAATTTCGTAAGTAGAAGGTTCACTGTATGAAGTAGACCAGTGGTTCCTGATCTTGGGTAACCCAGATATTCTTGGACTGCCACTCCCAGAAACCTGCGCCAGCATACCTGCTGATAAAGATTATTCTTGGACTGCCACTCCCAGAAACCTGGGCCAGCATACCTGGTGGTAAAGGTTTCTGGGAATTGCAGTCCAAGAATATCTGGGTCACTCAAGGCTGGGATCCACTGAAGTAGACCATAGTAAGAAATAGGTAGCACTGGGAAGGGAACAGGATGAACTCTGAACCTTTACTTCCAGCCCACCTCTGCACCATTCTTCAGGAAAATATTTTTCTCTTTAGAAAAACAATGCTATTCAAGAACAAAAAACCATGCAGTTTAATATTTATTTATTTGTTTGTTTGTTTGTCTTATATATGAACAAAAAACCATGCAGTTTAATATTTATTTGTTTGTCTTATATATGGGCTGCCTTTCTCCTGATCAGGAAACTTGTGCATTTTATAAAACCAAAGAAAACATAAAAGAACATTTTATTAAAGCAAGAAAAATTCAAATTGGAGCAATAAGAAGTTTCAACAATGCTACATAAGGATGAGGAATATGTGGTTCTCTGTATATTGTTAGGCAAACAGAAGTACCTATGAATTTGATTATAGTGCATCACAACCATGCAATAAATGTCAGACTAGAGATGGCTCAGAGCAGCCAATTCTTGCTTGTATATTGTTAGGCAAACAGAAGTACCTAGGAATTTGATTATCACAACCATGCAATAAATGTCAGAATAGAGATGGCTCAGAACAGGAAGAATATAATAGGCAACTTTATAATTGGCTTCAAGAATGCACATAGTATGGTGCTATGCATTCTCAGTTCTACTGTATGGCATGTAATTGTGGACCCAAAAATAGCCTGCTTTTTAAAACAGATGTGAAATGCAGGCTTATCAAGGTATGCTAAAAATTTCTTGAGCAGAGAAGGTAAGCAACAAAGTAAAGAAAAAAGGGGAAAAGGGCAAAATGCAGAATGCTAAAATAATCACACAATGCAGAAAAAGATGTACAGATTTTTACAGCCAGTTGTTCTAAGTAAAAAGATGGAGAAAGAACTATAGGAAGGAGAACTTACTGTCCCAAGGTTCTTGGGAAATAGATTTGAATGCAAAATGAAAAGTGTGTCTATAAAGGGAAATTGTTCTCCCTTGAATCAAGCTAAATGCAGCTCAAAAAGGGTCATTTGGAAGTGGCATCAAGTTGATTTTATGGCTGGCATAAAATCAACTTGATACTGGCTCAAGAACTAAAATGGAAAACTAAAGAAGTGATTTATTTTGCATAAGTCCTATTTCATTTGTTACAATTCTCTTGTAGATTTTGTTGCCTGTCTAAATCGTTGGTCTTTTCACACAGGCTTCAATAAGCTTACCTGTTTTATCTTGGAAGCAAGGTTTTCTGGCAATTTTGTTCTTAGTTGATTTGTTTCTTTGAATGTAAGTGGAAAACCTTTAAGGAAAACCAAGTCTTGCATTATCACTAACCCAGGAACTTCTTTGTCTGTAGTCTGCAAAAACGGAAAAATCCTTTTTAAAAGGATACTAATTTTAACATTGATTTCCCATTCTGTCCCAGAATTCTAAAATATTCTTTCTAATGTTACATAAATCTATTTTAAATACACCACTGAGTTTCTTTTTTTAGAAAACCTGCTAAGGTACCATAGCACTAATAGAAAACATTACAGTACACAAAGTATTTTCTATTTAGTAGCCATAGATTCTTTCATTCAACCAACCAAAGTAAGCACATTGAAGGAGTTCAAAACAAACAAACGAACAAAAAAGAAACATACCAAATAGCCCCTCCATACAGCTTGCCTGCTGCTCTCTTTCAGCATTTCAGAATTGGCATCTTCAGCTGGAAGAGTTAGGAATTCAAATCATAAGTCACCCCTTCCATACACTGCAGAATTTCATCATAAAACTTCAAAAGTTCAAAGATACATATTTCTACAGATACATATTTTTCCATACATGATTTAGCAAACTTATTAAAACGACAACGCCCTCTACATTGCCGAGACCATTCTGTTCCCTGATAAACCCAGGTACTACGGGTGATGAAGCAACATAGGAAAAAGCTGAAGTATACCTGGAAGTGGGCCAGACAGAACCTAATTCAACAGCCACAAAAATCACATCAAACATCTACCTGGCAACAATAAAGACTGCCAGAAGAGCCTGTTACACTGACCAAATCAGTGATGCACAAAATCACTGGGCTAATTATTTTCTATTGTGTGTGATTTATCCGGAACTAGCCACAGTGATTGGCCTTCCACTAGCATCACCTGTGACCAGTTTGTGGCATTTTAAAAAAATTAAGTGGAGGCCATCACATCAAACATCTACCTGGCAACAATAAAGACTGCCAGAAGAGCCTGTTACACTGACCAAATCAGTGATGCACAAAATCACTGGGCTAATTATTTTCTATTGTGTGTGATTTATCCGGAACTAGCCACAGTGATTGGCCTTCCACTAGCATCACCTGTGACCAGTTTGTGGCATTTTAAAAAAATTAAGTGGAGGCCATCTGCAGGGAAGATTGGCCTTCCACTAGCATCACCTGTGACTAGTTTGCGGCATTTAAAAAAAATTAAGTGGAGGCCATTTGCAGGGAACTTAACCACCATACTTTGTCAGTAGATTTGAATTGAGATGTCCACTGCACTGGCTTGTCTGGATATTTTAGACCAATTTCAGCCTGTGATGTCATCTGAAATCGAGAGGGTGCTTGACTGCTGTTGGGCCACTGCAGCCTCCCTAGATCCTTGCCTGACCTAGATTTTAAAAGTTGCCAGACCAATAACAACAGCTACGTTGATCATCAATGCATCTTTCCTTGAGAGCCATGTTCCCCAAGCCCTCAAGGAGATATGCATTAGGCACATTTGGAAAAAACCTAACTTGGTGGCAGATGACTGTAATAATTACAGGCCTGTCACCAATGTTCCCTTTATGAGAAAGCCAGTGGAGGCACTTCTGGAGTAAACCAATAACCTTGATCCATTCCAGTCTGGGTTTATGCCACATTGAGACATCATTGGTAACCCTGCACAATGGCCTTTTGAAGGAGGCTGACAGGGGCAAGGTGTCCGTGGTTGAGACATCATTGGTAACCCTGCACAATGACCTTTTGAAGGAGGCTGACAGGTGCAAGGTGTTCGTGGTGGTCCACCTCAATCTCTCAGTGGCCTTTGATAACATCAACCATGGTACCTTCCTGGGGAGGTTCATTGAGTTAGGGATCGGTGACGTGGTTCTGAATCCCCTTGGATTTTCAATTGTAGAATGCCCCAGTGGCCATTTCTCTGTTTAAAATCTATTTAAGATTGCTGAGAAACGTCATCCAGAGATTTGGAGTAACGTGTCATCAACATGCAGGTGTCACGCAATTCTGTCTCTTCTCCCACCCTTCTGCAGTAGATGCTGTCCCATCCCATAGGCACTGCCCAGCTGCTGTGCTGGACTGGATGAAAGAAAACAGACTTGAGGCTGTACCCAGACAAGAGGTAGGTCCTCTGGGTGGGTGTCCCCAGTGTGGTTTGGGTGGCTCCCTCTCCTTTGATGGGGGTTCTCTCTCCATCAGGATGTGCAGCCTAGGCATTCTTCTGGAGCCAGTGCTATTAATGGAGAACCAGACAGAGTCTGTACTCCAATCCACCTATTTCTACCTTAGATGGACTGCACAATTGTACCCTTACCTGGACACCCAGTCACTCACCATGTTGGTCCATGCACTGGTAGTCTCAAGAATAAACTACGATAAAGTTCTTTATGTGGGGCTTCCCTTGAGCCTGACACAGAAGTTCCAGCAGGTCCAGAATATTGCAGAGTTCCTGGTGGGTAGAGTCAGTAAATACCAACACACATCCCCAACCAGTATTATACTGGTTACCTGCCTGCTTCTGTGCTGACCTCAAGGTGATTATTTTAACATATAATGCCCCAAACGGTTTGGGACCTGGGTACTTGACAAAATGCCTCCTTCTGGCAAGAACTGCCAGTCCTACCGTTCATCCCAGGTGGGATGTTTGCTTACCGATCTTCGCAAAGCAATGCCACGGATCAGCTGTTTGGCGGCTCCAAAATGGCTGCAGGAAGCCCCGAAATGGCTGCGTGCAGCGTTTTCACGCCCTTCCCTCGCTTACCGAGGGCGTGAAAATGGCTGCCACAATGGAGCAACCTCGCTGAACGGTGAGTTTTGCAGCCTATTGGAATGCATTAAACTAAGTTTAATGCATTCCAATGGGCTTTTACGTTCCGTACAGCGATGTTTCGCCATAGCGAAGGTTAATCCGGAACGGATTAACCTCGCTATGCGAGGCACCACTGTACCAACACACATCCCCAACCAGTATTACACTGGTTACCTGCCTGCTTCTGTGCTGACCTCAAGGTGATTATTTTAACATATAATGTCCCAAACGGTTTGGGACCTGGGTACTTGACAAAATGCCTCCTTCTGGCAAGAACTGCCAGTCTTACCTGTTCATCATCCCAGGTGGGATGTTTGAGGGTGCTGGCCCTGAGAGAAGCCCAAAGAGAGAGGACTAGGAGTTGGGCCTTATCGGCGGTTGCACCTAGAATTTGGAACCAACTACCCCCAGACATCTTCCTGGCCCCCTCACTGATGACTTTTTAAAAAATCTTTAAACATTTGTTTAGACTCACATTTACATCAATGGGAATCCACTGAAGATTTCAGACACTGAGTCAATTCTACCACCTTTTAAATACTTAATGCTTATGTGTAATTTTTAATTGTTTGATTATTTTATTTGAAGATAACCAAATCAATAAAATAATATTTTATTTGATACAATAATATTTTATTAAAACCACCTTTTAAATACTTAATGCTTATGTGTAATTTTTAAGTGTTTGATTATTTTATTTGAAGATGCTTATATGTTGATTTTACTTTATGTTTATAGTACTGTTTTACTTTTTGATCATGTTGTGAACCACCCAGAGTAACCTTAGGCTAGATGGCTGGTATACAAACCAAATCAATAAAATAAATAAAATTAAAACATTTAAGGAGGACTAATACTTAATGCTTATGTGTAATTTTTAAGTGTTTGATTATTTTATTTGAAGATGCTTATATGTTGATTTTACTTTATGTTTATAGTACTGTTTTACTTTTTGATCATGTTGTGAACCACCCAGAGTAACCTTAGGCTAGATGGCTGGTATACAAACCAAATCAATAAAATAAATAAAATTAAAACATTTAAGGAGGACTTATCTTTGGGATGCATCTGTCTCTGTCTACTACAATTATGCAATGATATCCCTTAATCACTGCAAGAAGAGGAAGAAAAAAAATACAGTGGCGCCTCGACTTACGAACACCCCTACTTACAAATACTTCGACTTATGGACAGCTCTGGCTGCAAAATTTTGCTTCAACTTGTGGCTGGAGCTTCCAATTATGAACAGAAACAGGCAGGGGAAAAGGCAGGAAATTCAAATTTCTAACTGTAGGTAGCGACGAGGCTTCTTTGTACTGTAATTGTTTCACTTTCGCAGTTAGAGAGTGTGTTGTGTTGGAGGCTTGCTTGGGAGGGCCTCCTTCTGCTTCGGAGTGAGCGTGTGTATGTCTGCAGGGAGGTAAGCTACTGTTTCTCCTTTTAGAAAACTGTTCTGGGTGGGTTTTGGTGTTTCTGTGCTGTGCTGTTGGTGGCTCTGCTTCGGAGTGAGCGTGTGTGTGTCTCTGCAGGGAGGGTATGTTTCTGTGCTCTGCTTTGGAGTGTGTGTGTGTCTGCAGGGCTCTGCTGTTTATTTTTGGAGTGTTTTTTCCTTCTTAAACCTCAGCAACGGAGGTGGCTCTAGTATGTTTGTTTGTTTTTTTGAGGTTTTTTCTTCTTAAAGCCTGAGCAATGGAGCACCTTCCGACTGGGCTTGCTGTGTTCTCTTTTTGTGTGTGTGATTTTTTTTCCTTCGGCTAGAACAGATTAATCAGTTTTCAATGTATTCCTATGGGAAATAGTGCTTCGACTTATGAACGTTTCAAGTTAAGGACACCGTTCCAATACGGATTAAGTTAGGAAGTCAAGGTACCACTGTATCCCCCTTAAAAAGTCTGAAAAAGCAATAATCCTACAGCCAAATGTTTTCAGCCTACAGAAGATGACTAAGACAGCTCCTTACCTTCTTTAGAATTGTAAAAAACAATAACAGTGACATTGGTAGAAGGATTTTTTGGCTTTGCGACTGAGAAGAGGTTGTTGGCAGACCGCAGTGAAGGATGGATCAATGGGAGGTCCTTGAGAGTTATGTTGTTTGGCAGCCCTGGGTCCAAGACAAGCATTGGCACTTTGATACAATGTGTCAGTAAACACTCCAGTTGTTTCTCACTAGGACCAAGTAAGCAAATGAATGAATACGTATAATTCTTAGGTTCAAAATTGCTTGTGACTGCATATATGGGGTCAGGGTTTGATTAAGATATGTTACCACTCCTTTAAAAATACTTATTTAGTATCTCAGTCACCTTTGGCCAAAATAAGCTCCATATTAAATTTGGACCTAAGTTCTCATTTCAAACTGGACATCGCACTCTATGGCATATCCTGTTTACAGATGTTGCACAGCTTGTCCAAATGCAGAAGTCAGAAATGGGTTCTTTTGAGGAGAATGGTAGGGTAAAAATATTTTAAATTAATAAATTTAAATAAATAAACTAGACCCCAGACAATGTATTCTGCAATGTGCAGAGATTGAGAAAGTTACTTGTTTCGACTAAAACTCCCAGAATCCTCCAGCAACCATAAACACTGGCCAAGCTGGCTTTGAGATTCTGGGAAATGTAGCACAGGTAGTAACTTTTCTAAGCTGTCATACTGAGCACATTATTTAGGAAACCGTATTGAGTACAGTCAAGGAAAGAAAGACACTTGTTTTCACTGGTTCCTTTGCTAAACTTAAAAATGTTTCATTTGGAGAAGTATCACAATTCAACATCCTGCACTCTAAATTATTTGTATGCTTTCACAGAGTTTATGTGGAAAGGCAAATTATGAGAATCAGGGCTCACAATTAGGTAGCATCTTGGTAGCATTAAATGACTGTGGTATTCTCCCAGACTGACTGCTCAGTTCCAACATAACTTGACCCAGCTCTACTCAAATATGCACCCAGGTAGAGAAGCACAAGTGTTGAACAGTGATTAGAGGTTGGAATAGGAGATCAAAGTTGTCATGCAGACTAATGAAACTTACAGGTGACTTCAAGCCAGTCACTCTCTCATACTCTGATCTATTTTACAGAGTTGTTAAGCACAGGGAAGAGGGAAGTCATCTACACTATCTTGAGTTGGCTAGAGAAAAGGCAGAATCAAAATGAAACAAATAAATATATTTTGTTCTGCTATTATGTGGGATGTTGCTTACCTCACACGTTATCTCCAACTGCACCACAGTGCTGATAAATCGTTTCAAAATGGCTGCCACAAGGCAACAACTGACTAGATTTATTTGTGCTTTTTTGTTCACCTCATTTACCTTCTCCTTACATGTAGAGGTAAATATAAAGCAAAACAAAGCTCGAAAGGTCATCTACACATAGAGAACATTACTCATACTGCTTTAGAAAACAATGGATTTTAGGAGACAATAACCATATTCTGATTTAGAGTGGCTTGAGAAGTATTTTAATTTATGGAACATTTTCTTTTGGACAAACAGAATTATAGCAGTTTTCTCTCTCTTTTTTTTAATTGAATAATTAGAGATTCTGTGACTCTCAACTTGCCCAAAATTACAAATTGTCCACCTTAGCACTCAATAACATCAGTGGTAGAAAACCTAACCTTTCCTCAAAACACTTCTACTCATTTTTTTTTTACCTTTTCTTAGTTGGTTCCGTAGTGTTCTTTCCAAGCATTTCCCTAAAGAACAATAAACAAGTATGACAAAGAACAATGACATCTTCTTGAACTATACACATACTGTACTTGCTAAGTTGATAGCCAGACAGACAGGTGTGTGTGTGTACATAGGTGCACAAGTGTTTCAGACTTTTTCCTCACCACTGAACTTTCAACAGAAGCTCGGGAGCCTTCCCACTCACGCCGCCACAGTGACAAAAACTGGCAGATAACAAAATCTGGTCCTATTGTGGCAGGACACAGAAGTATGCCTACCAGTTACCTCACACACAGTGAAATCCCAGACATATTTCCTCTGAGGTAAGACCTATTAAGTTCAAGGTAAGTACAAGACTGTAGCCTGAAAGAATTTAAGAGTCTTGTCCAATCCATAGCAAAGGTCTTCCAAATGCCGTTGGACGACCACTCCTATTAGGCCTTCCTGACCAGCATGTATAAGGAATGATGGGAGCTGTAGCTCAAACCGACTCTTCTTCTCTGGCCTATGGGATGAAGTGTAACCATTACACTAGCAGCCACAATACCTGGGGAGCAATAGGACCAGTCTTACATTCACTGTTAGAAAACTTGGGTTTTTGGACCAGAATCTCTCAGCAAGCACGGGGGGCTATAGGAACTTTTCAAAGCTTTGGCCATTTCACAGCACTTCCTTTTTACTGTTACCAGCCTTTACATATAGGAAGAGCTTTGAACCACCTAACCTACTGTGAAGACCCCTCACTCCTTCAACTATGTTTACTAGTCTGGATGTGTGGTGTTAGTCCAGAACTAGTCATATGGATCACAATCACTGTTTTGACAATTTATTTCCTGGCCTATTAACTGATAAATTTATCTGCTCCTTCTATGCATACATTTTCCCATTACAGTACTGAATTCATTGTGTTTCTAATCCCGCTGAAGTGATTTTCTCGTATTTGAATTTCTTGATATACTTTGCAATGAACACTTTCTCAAACATTTATTAAGACACAATTCTTTAGTAAACTTCTCAAAATGGGTCCCAGTGAATGTTCCAAAGACAAGGAAAAGAAAAACCAGGTAGCATTCCCTCGGTTCAGTTTGTTTGTGCTCATAGTTCTGATTCTAGAAGACCTGGAAAGGGTTTCTGCTCAAAAAGCATGAAGAACATTAGTTTGTAACATTTCTTAAACCACGACAGCACAGCAGGTACAGCACAATATGCAAAGGAGACAGACATCAAGTTTAGTCAGGACTCTAAATGTGGACCATACAACCTAATGGCCACTAGATGTTTTTAACTACAGTTCCCATATTGCCCCACCAGCAGCCATGTTGGCTGAGGCTGTTAGGAATTATAAATCAACATATTGGAAGGGCATTAGGTTGCCTATACCTACGCTGAGTTGTAACTAAGCAGCACACCTTAGTCTCATGAGCCACTCCACCCCTTTCCTCCCTGCAGGGTGACAAAAACTTCTGTTTCCATTTTAGATTTTCATGGTTCACTGTGTCATCTTCACCCTAACCTGAAATTGACTCTAGTTTGTGGAAACAAGACAGCTTTAAAATCACCTTTGAAACTAGCTAGTTCCCACTAACCCTGGTTAAGAAGAATAGGGTGTTAGTGCTGGAAGTCATGGAAAGGGACTGAAATAGAAAGTATCTCCAGGGAGAGATTCTTACCTTATTATCCTCTGTTCTTCCTCCATCTGTTTCCTCACCTGCTGCAGTTCTCTGATCAGCTCAACATCTGTGCCATTCACCCAGGTGTAAACCACATCAATGGGCATGGGTAAACAAAGTCTACAAAAGTCAAATGGAGAAGAAGGGAGACAACCGTGTTTATCCTGTCCAGGTTTAAACAAAGAAACATTTTTCAGCAACAAAGATTGTGTTTTACCACAAAATGTATGATCAAACAAATGGGATTATGATTAAAAAACTGGTCTGTTTTTTTCAGTGTAACACAATAAAAGCCAGTGTGGTGTAATGGAGAGAGTGTCAGACTAGGATTCAAGAGGACTGGGTCTAAATGACCACGTCACCAAGGAAACATACTGGTAGATTGGCAGTGGCAAACTACTCTTCGAACATTTCACACACCTTGAAAACTGTAGCAGGACTGCCATAAATCTGAAGCACAACAATAACAGTGTTCAGCATATCCATATCATTCATTCATTCCTAATTCACCAGCTACTGATCTTAGGTATTTTCCTCTAACAAATGCTATCCCAACATGTTTTGGCCTACAGCCCTCAGAATCTCCTCACCAGAATTGTCAGTGGTGCATTCTGGGAGTTACAATGCAAAAGGTAACTACTCCAAGCTCCAATCTGACATCTGGAGAACCACATATTCCCAACACTAGCTTTCTTTTTTTCAGAAGACCCAAATGTCACCCTGGCTGGGTTGGGCTAAGACAAGGTCATGGAATATTTCACTTCTGCAGCAGGTACTGCAAACCACACTTCCAGTGGCTCCTGATGGTTACAAAAGCAATCCAAATATTGCACCCATAGATGCAATAATAATTATAATAATTGTGTGCCGTCAAGTCAATTCTGACTTATGGCAATCCCTTTCAAGGTTTCCTAGCTAGACAGTATCAGAAATGGTTCAACAATTACATGCCATCAAGTCTATTCCAACATTTAAAAAGTGTGCTCTGTGTGTATATGTATATGTATATATATATGTATATATATGTATATATGTATATATATGTATATGTATATGTGTGTGTATATATATATGTATGTATATATATGTATATATGTATAT